CAGATGATTTGAATGACAACACCAGGTCATAAACCATATATACCTTATGAGACAAATTTGATTGACCATCAAAATCGTTTGATCTCTGTGAGTGATGCTTAGAGATAGCATAGCATAGTAACATCCATTTTTATTCTCGGTTAATTTCGGAAATGACCAGACCGATTTGGATGCTGCTGTTGGTTTTAGGATCCTTTTCTCTAAAAATATGTGAGTAAAAATAGATCATTATATCAGTTTTTAAAATGGATAATTATAGGTACATATGTATATCATTATATGTAATTTTAAAATGGTCATTATAGGAAAATCATTAAATCATATTTTAAAAAGATAACTGGTGTTAAACATGTCGCTGCAAGACATTTACCGTTACCTGTAGTAATCTTGTCTTGATTTGTTATTTAAATAAAGTTACTAATCGTTATTTGAATTTTTCGGAGAATATGAACGTTTATAGTACACAAATTGTTGAAAATATCATCTTCATTCAGTATGGTTATATTATTGGTGGCGGTGGTTTGTTTGACCATATCCCGTTTATATCGTCTATGTTGGATTTCGAATGTTGACAATTAATCATATCTTTCTTTGTAATACAGAACGGAATTGAAAAAATTTTTGGACTGATATTCCTTTTAGAGTTTCAGCTTCCACAATTTTTGTAGCTTGCAGGAGATTAAATCCCTTATGACGATTACAGACTTTAAGTAATACTTCTGTCTTGAAATCCGTTTTTGTCGGTCGTCCAACTCTTCTTTAAGTACAAGTAGTTCCTTTTAACGATTGTATATGCGATCTTTGTAAATGAATGAAACTGTCAAGATGGATGATTTTTTGGGGGGGAGGGGGGTGGGGGGTGTCGTGGGGGGTATAATAGGATATAATAGGGTGGGTAGCATTGCACATGGATGCGAATGAATTACTTTTATGAACAGAAGGTTAAGACATATGTTAATTGCCCATTACATACTATACTAACCATGAGCAACAATACCTCTTCAAGATTTACAGGATTAAAAAAGTCATATTACCCTTTTCAATAAATCAATTATATGTGTTTCTTTCTCGTCATTGACCTGGTGTTTGTGTAAGTAAAAGAAACCTAATTAGTTAGTGTTTATTATTCTGAAAACGAAACAATTATTCTAAATGTCCGAAGGGTTGAAATATTTCTCCATCACTGTCCTATGGTATCAAATCTTCTATATTAGAATGAATAAATTAAATCATTGAATTGTTGGTAATTGGATAAATGGTACTAAAATACCCGCGAATTGGTATTACTTTCTTCAAAAAGTATTAGATAATTCCGTACAAAAGACAGTCAGAAATACTAAAATGTATACTTAAAGTATAAAAAACCTAATTAGTTAGTGTTTATTATTCTGAAAACGAAACAATTATTCTAAATGTCCGAAGGGTTGAAATATTTCTCCATCACTGTCCTATGGTATCAAATCTTTTATATTAGAATGAATAAATTAAATCATTGAATTGTTGGTATTTGGATAAATGGTACTAAAATACCCGCAAATTGGTATTACTTTCTTCAAAAAGTATTAGATAATTCCGTACACAAGGCAGTCAGAGATACTAAAATGTATACTTAAAGTTTCTGATCCTCATTACAGTTTTGTGAAATTTGAAATTCTAACAGGAATATCAGTCCAAACATTTAAGTTCAATTTCGGGAAAATATTTACAAGTGATGTTTTGGTTTTGATTTCTTAATTAAATTTTAAATAATCAGTTTCAGTCCATTGTAGAGTTGGATAAGCGGTTGAAAATTGTATTCTCCGAAATATGCAAATGATGATCAACGGTTTTAAACTACCTATAGAGCCTAATTGTTCTGACGGTTGCGTAAATTCGTATACAATAGAACGGGAGTTAAGTGCACGTTATATAGATTTTGTAGGCTATTGCAAAATGATCGATTTTACGTGCAGGCCAATGTGTACACAGGATCTCGGTTTTCGTCCCACCCAAATGACTAGACCCTGGCCATTCCCCGTCCTGCACCAATGAAGAGGGGAAACTACGCTGAAAAATCACTATATAAGGAACCTTAGCCATCTCCGGGGCCAAAGCCACGACCTAATGGTTAATGGTCCAACGCCTTATTGAGCCACCGTGGCTCCTAGTTCAAAGATCATATGAATTGGTCATGGGTGTATGGCCTTTTCTTGAGGTCTAATTTAGGATAACATTACATACTAAATTTTGTCTGATTCAGATAATAATTAGCCGAGATATTTCAATTTTTGTACTCGGTGCTTCAAAAACACCCTTTTTTATCTTTCAAAAACGGCATTTTCCGCACAGTCCAGTTGGTGACGCCATAGGAACCCCAGTCGTCCGTGACACAACGAAGTGCCATTGATCTTCTGTTTCATTTACATTTTGTACTAATATATTTTTTAAAATTTAAAGTAGCTAAGTCTTTTCTGGTTGCCAAGTCAAATATGACGTTGTCTAATATAATGCAATTTGTTTTGCTATTTCGACCGTTGCATCCGACGGTTGTATGGATTGGTTGTATCGTGTAAACGTCGCTTAACTCAATTAAATAGTATATTACTGTTTCAGCATTATCTGTCAAAACTGATGGACAAATACTTATCTGTCATAACCATAAATAACATGAACGTTGTAATATAGTCTACAAATTGTACAATGAGTGAGTTCTACGTAACTTAAATGACATTTATTGATTTAAAATTATGTATGGTAGACTGTCATTGACAGGGTTGTTACAGTTGGCAATATATATCTATGGGTTGGATCGGATCAAAAATATAAGAAAAATATACAATTAAATTAAAAGGGCATTTATATCCCTATCCATAATCCGTATTCTTGTGTTGCGAAATTAAAAGGCTTGATTTAAGCCTAGGCCTATAAATCATTTTTCTATGGAATTAATAGTTAAGGTACTAGCGAAACCCAACATAAAGCATCCTCTTGTACAAGACAATGATAGATACTTGGTCAACACCTATGGGGAGCCAAGGTGGCTCACTAACCAGAAGGTCCCGGGTTTTCAATGTCGGTGGGGGCTGGCAAGGAACAGCATCTAGTCGTTCGGATGGGACGAAAACCCGAGGTCCCGTGTATTATCGGCGTGCACACAAAATATCCCTTGGCAGCCTAAATTGGAGGCAGGGTAGACGGAAACGCTGCTGTCCTGGCAAAATGTTTCTAATAGCACATCGCCACACTGCATGTCGTATGCCCATCTTCATTGGCGCAGAAAAGTAGCCTGTTAAATCCCACTTCATTTCATTTCAACAACAATGGCGATAAATTTATAATACCTACATTAAAAGTGATCCGGTATTTGCTATATGAGATCTTTATCTAACATTTTTTTTAATATTTAAGATGGACAGAGATTTACATGTCTCCTTTCGAACCAGCAATTGAGTGTAGGGTCAACGGGAGAAAATGAAAGGGGTGTAAGTGAAATTGAGGAGGAGGGTGACGAGGAAGAAGAAGAGGAGGAGGAGGAGGAAGAAGAAGACGAAGAGGGGGAAGATGATCGTAAAAAACGACAAGCACCCTTTCCTGATAACATCCTGTCCTTGGCACCATCTCAGACACCATTGGCTGTCCTGGAACAACTAAATCCACAACAGATAGGTACAAACCTCACTGGTCAACTAATCAACTCGATGTTAAGCATCAATCCAGCGGACGATAGTATTCATGATGAAACAGAGGCAATATACGAAACTTACGATGTTATAGGAAAAGCTTACGATCAAGAATACGATCAAGCTGAAATCAACGATGTCACAGGACAGAATGTATTAAATATAACCGTTGCTGGCATATTAGCTGGAGATGTACGCTGTCCAAATCCTTCCCAAAAATTATATTTTAGAAATGTTACCATTGGACATTCCATTGCTCATTCATGTTACGTGGCAGTTGCTTGTTTTAAAGAAATAACAGAATATGATGAGGTACGTAGTTTAAATTTAATAATATGCAAATAATATACATAGACGATCCTAAAGAGCAATCTTTTGAAAATTAGATTACAAAATGTAATTACGTTACAGTTAGATTATTGCAGGATTTCTTTCGTGTTATATTACATCAGAAACAGTTAAAATTATATGAAAATATCATTTCTTTCTCACCTCTTTCATTTATTCAGGTTGTGCAGTGTGCTGGCAAGTATGGTCAATGTCATTTGCAACTTAAAAGTGAAAATCTATCAAGATGTGGCCGCATGAGTAACTACGTAAAAGTTGAATATGATTGTGTATATGGTAAGTAATGACGAGTTTCGTGCAGTGGATTGTTACCTTTTTCCAGAACACCTTATACCTCTTCTCATTTAGTTGGAAACTTTATATAGCTAACAATTCTTGTACTTTTGCAGCCTCATTGACAGGAAAAAACGACAGTGTCCACATCATGCTAAATCAAGATGCAGCTTCGCAATATATTTTTACACAGTAGTAATAAAATTATCATTTTTTAGATTATCTTTGAATGTCAGACAGTGGGAAACTGGTACAATATTGCTACGCGGTTCTTTAATAAGTCAATCTGATTAAAACACGGATCTTATTTCGTTTCGTTTTTTATAGTTCAAAATTTCGTTTTACTTGTCTTTACTACACTAGGATCTGGAATAGTTGTTATATTACCGGCGTTTTGGTTAAGTGGGGGATAAGCCAATGAAACAATCTGTTACGGCGACTTCTTGGCGTGTCATGCACGGAACTGTGGGTAAACCACTAGAAAAGCCAACGCTGATTGATTAATCAATGTCTGACCTCATAGGGTCAAAAGCTCGTACGACCCCTAACACGACCTTCGGGTACTACATGTCAGATCTTCATGTAGTGTAGGCCATCGAAAGTATAAAAATAAACCGAAACGAAATATAGATCTGTATTTTAATCATATTGTTAATAAGTCAAAATACACTCAGTGTATCATTCTTTCCTCCTTCCAGATCATTCTTTACTAGATATATGTGCTACGTCAGACGTAAGTCGGTGGAAAGGTGTGACGATTACCTCCCCTTCATACCCACTTCCACCACAGGGTATTGCTAATAAAGTCAGAACCTGCGAATGTGAAATATCTACTGATTCAACATCAGCCTTATCCCTGGCCTACCTTAACAGTAATATGGCGGGTAAGAGTGGTAAATGTGACGAGGAGATGCTGTTGCTGGAACAGAAATATAGCTCTGGTCCCACCTCAAAATTCAAAGTATCGGATGAATTATGCGGGAAGAGATCTGACTACATTAGAAGATTCGGGGACAGTTCAATAAGACTTACATACCTGTTGGGTGGTTCAGACGGTTTGAAGTTGAAGGGAGGATTTTTTGCCCAAGTGACGGGTAAGTGATCTATTGTGGGTTTATCTGGCTAATGGCTAACTGGAAAGCCGAAGTTGTAGTTTTTTTCCTATAACTTATGGGGGTGGGGGGGGGCAATGGTTAGCACGTGCGTGTTGTATCATTAGGTCTGTCATTGAGTCAACTGGCGTGGTTTCGATTCCTCTGTTGTACTTGACAAGGAGTGGGGTCGACTGTCCAACCTCGTGGGTTTTCTCCGGGTCCCCCGGTTTCCTCCCACTGCTAAAGACCCTAAATTCAACCATGTGGTAGTCCCGAAATGACCTGGTTTGTGTCGAGTGGACGTTAAACCTCATCTCTCTCTCTCTCTCTCTGTCTCTTTCTTTCTCTCTCTCTCTCTCTCTCCCTATAACTTATACAACGGTCGCCAACGAAACTTTACTTCAATTTTGAAATAATTAATGTAGAGGCCTAAAATTATACAATGGTATATGTTTTATTAATTTCATATGTATTTCATGATGTCGTATTCCAGCCGAGTCTATCTCGAGAGGATCAAGCCTGATAAACGTCAAATGTAAATCTGTACACACTGACGGTACGTCTGCTCCCAACATCAGTCAGTTTCCAAGTAGGCCTACAAACCAAAGAACCAACCGCGTTCCTGTGATCATCAAAGAGCAGAAACAGTTTATTCCACCTTTACGTGTGGACAGTCCGGTAACGGCATCACCTGCAATCTTGACCACCATGGCTAACAAACCCTTGCAAGCAACCTCACCTAGATGGAGAATAGGACCGAGAGGAAGAAAATACATTCCAAGACCAGGCCATGCTAATGGTCCGCTATTTCTTGACGGAGGTGGCGCGCGTGTAATTAGACGACGATACCCAGGAGGTCGGCAACCAGGAAGGCCGATCATTCGCAGACGCATTGTTTTCAGAACTACAACACCATTGATGCTTGGTGTCACCACATTGGAACCTTTGGATAATCTGATTAAAATAACAGAGACAGTGACTGTAAAAACACCGGTAACCCAAGACATCTTAAACTCCTCGAGTCCTAAAGTTGGAATAGGCAACAGTGCTGGAGCTGTTAAAGCTGGAATGGATCCAGCAACAAAAGAACAAATCAACATTGCTAGTTCTAGTGGTAAGTTACAGTAATATGCTGTTGTTTATGAAATAAATTTTCGATTGGGTTACAAGAACAGTGTAATCTTTAGAAAAGGTCGGTGGGGCAGGTAATAAAAATATTTTTCATAATTTTCGGCTCCCCCAAAAATTCCGGCTGCGAGCGCTGCGACTAATTGTCATCGGGTGCCGAGAGAGTCCAATAGAATTAACCTTATCACGAAATTATGGTTTGACACAACAAACAAAGTATGATACTGTTGTCGAAGATGTGATTATCCATTCAACGAAACTAAAAATGGCACTTTTTTTCTGTTTCCTCTAGAGGGGATAATAGCGTCGTGCGTCTTTAATGGCGAGGAGGCATAAGAACTTAAAATCGTGATTACTATTAGTGAGTTTTTCTGGTGAATAACACGTTCCACATTATGTACACTCTAATAATTATTTGCTAAACTAGTAAGGGGCTAGAAACTTAGTGTTACTGAGAGCAATTATAAATTTCGTACATAAAAATGAATTTGTGTTTAAAAATGTTTTAAAATCTTTTTCACAGAAGGAACGTTGATAGCAGTCGTGGCTTCTATGGCATCCATCATAGTTATAATGGTTTCTGTTGGTTTTTATTATTTCTTCAAAAAGTAAGCATTATTCTTTACTTTTGATATTTATATTAAAGATATTCGGGCACTTTGAAATCTTATATGGTTTTCACGGCAGTTTGATCGCAAATTAATTGTTGCACGTTTGATCTTGTAGTTTTGTAATCGCAATTTAATATTTACATAGGTATCAACGACAGGACAGTTCAGTGGGTTCGGATACAAGTACTTCGTGGTATTCCTATGGTGACCCAAGTTACATGCACACAGAGTTGTCAAATAGCACACATGTTCAGCCTGCTAAAAGGGGAGGTAACCTCAACAACTCCGACGAAAGTGTTTATTACGAATCATGTGACAATGGAATTAATCGACAAACTGGGTTGGTCACGGCAAAAAGTTCAAATAATGAACATAGTACTCAAACTAATGTTACAAATTCGCAATCAAATTGCGCACCGGCGATGAAAACAGCAAACACCAATTCTACAACTTCGATGCAGAATAAGTCAACCGACAGCGGGCCAGCACCTCAAGCTCCACCCAGAAGAAAGCGGCGGCGACCTCCACCTCTGCCACCACAAAATAATGATTACGATAACAATATCACAATTACACCACGCCAATCTCTTGGTGCCAGTTCTCAAATTAAGCAGAATGTTTACGACAATGATAAGGCAGTGTTACAATTCCAGAATATGGTTGACAATGCGAATGCAGTGATAACATGTCAACCACACCCAATATCAGAACACAGTTCCAGTACTGACCATTACGACAATAATACGGACGTGGAACCAATCGTGCAGATACGTGGACATGAAAGTACAGAATATGCCAGCATTTCTGAAATGCAGGATATGGCTAATTCAGAATGTTGAATACATTTTAGGGCCTCAGAACGAATAATTCGGGTGTAGTGTGCAGTCTTGGAAAAGCATCCTGTTTACTTATGATTGTGAGATAACCTTTGTTGTCGTGAGGTGTCTGGATTCATAAATACCAGTAGTCGTGAAATCCTTATTGACGGGTGCGGGGTGGGGTCTGTATGTTAAAGATAAAATTTATTATGGAATCTCCTCAGAGGTTGATAATGTTTTCTTCTCTAACACCAGTATTTCAATACTCCATGATCATGGCCGTGATATTTAACGATAATTCTAGCCCATATACATGAATAGTTTCCTGATTGTAACCCAGACAAGCATAAAACTCACCTTAAAAAAATCATACAAAACACCCGGGTTCACCGTTTTCAGCCCACTGTTAAAAAATTATCGTACGCAAACGATTTATTAAAGATGTTAATGACTGGGGTTCTTTATTTTAAAGATGCATTATGTAAGAGCTAAGTATGCCTATTGCAGAGGTTTCTTTTGGTCTCAAATGTTATAATAAATTATTAATTGTACATTTATTCACATGACAAGCCAATAATCAACACACTAGATCATCGGATGGTTGTGATTTTGTGCGGATTGGAACACGGTCGCCATTAAATGATTTAATTTAAAAATGGATAACTGAGGCTTTGCTTCTTATGGTAAGAAAGAAAATCGGGACCACGGTATTCTTCAGACAGTCACAACTTAGCTCAGAATGAACCAATTTATTTTGTTGAAATGTTCAATATATTCCCTTTTCATTATATCTATTTTAAACTATTATCCTTAAAATAAAAATATTTGATTAAATTTGAATATTGATAAAATAAAATTGTTATGAATTTTTCACCCGGGTTTTTTTTTGGTCTGTATTTATTAGGTACATTATGTAATGATTAAGTGAAAATAATAGAAGTTGTCCGACCCGTTTAAGGCGAAGGTCTTCCAGAGGTATCCTCCCATTTCGCCTACGTGCCATTTCGACTACTGCTTATATAACAACAGATTATATGGTCTGGTGGTTTTATTATCCCTACTTATATACCCTCTCTATAACTAAAATAGACTGTTCCATAAAACATCCCATTTAGGCTACAGCGTATAACAGATTAAATAAAACAAACAGAAAAAAGAATGAAAAATTATTGTATAAAATATGTAACAAAACAAGATCGTTCGCACTTCTCAATATTTCGAATTATGTCAATGAATCTATAGAGGTTAGGATGACTGTGTGGTATGGTTTTATAGATTCTTTTGTGGAAACCTACTAGGTTATTATTTTTCCTGGGTCCAGCAGTCTCCGTAAACAAACAGGAAATTTGGCGTCGTAATCTACCCATGTATTGGTAACGTAATCATTGAAATTCATCGGTGTTGGTGATGTTTGGAGTTTCCTCTATTGTTGATATTTGATATAAAGGAATTCTAATAAGGTAACAAAAATTTTGACTGAATGATAGTGAACTTGAAAAATAAATGTACAAAATTTGAAAAATAAGCAAGTATTAACCTCAATGTAATCTCCAAATATTACAAATATCCAAAACAAAAATGTACTCTTGAGTTGATATTTTTTCTTTGATGTTAAAGAAAACAAGTTATAATATATAATGAATAAGCTATTTTAACAATTATCATTACCTTAATTACATCTTTTAATCGGCAGAGCAGTTCATTGTTGATTAGTTGGGGGGTCATAATTTTAAGGGTTATAAAACTTGTAGTCGAAATGGGGGCGAACCCTTCCAGAACAAAAACCATAAACAATGTGTATAATTAACCTCTTAAGATTGGGAAACCTTTTGTTAAGAACTGATGGGTCTGGCGTGTGGCCTCCCGACGTCTGTTAGCTCAAAACCTGTAAGATAATTAAATGAGTTTAAGACTCAATTTTTAATTTTGATTATAGAATTACTCGACTGTTGCAATGAACAATGGGTCAAGTAGCAGAAGATACGGTCAAATTGTATCGAATTTAAAGAATGATTCAATCTTCGAACAGAACAAGCATTCATGGGGTTGACCCACCAACGTGCTTCTGTTTTCTTTTCGCATATATTACTTAATTCTTTTGTTCACATGAATGAAGAAAAATAATGACATGTTGCGTGACACAATATGGCAGGGTGTCTTTGTTACTGCTTATTTGTATCGAAGGTCAACCTCTATATTATGTAACAACGTTCTAATATGGACGTTTTGGACATTTGTCAGAACATTATGTTGCATTTGTATTCATTTTTCGGAAACATTTTTTATTTGAAGCATTATTAAGAATATAATGATAAGCCACTATCCCTAACTGTATATTATGCCCATTGCTCAAGATTTGCTTTGTTATATATTTAAACATATAAAGACAGTAGATATTTTCTTAGATTGTCAAGAATTAGTTATTCAAACTTAAATCGTTAAAGTGAAAATGAAGTTCTGGGTTTTGTAATTAAGTGGTACAGCTTTTGCTTAAATGATTTCAGCCAGTTGTTATCGATGTTCAAAGTGAACAAAATTCTTAACTTGAAAAACGAGATACACCTTTTCATAAGATATTAGTTATATTGTCTTAAACAAAAACTGGGCCCAAGAAAGAAAGTTTCGACGGCATTATGACTCTGGACAGGATACGATAAGTTAATGTATGTAATAATATGTCGATCGTAGTTTTTGTCCTGATACTATATTACCCTTTGTATTTATAAACTTTATGGCGCGAAATTCGATTAACGATCAAGGGTTTAATCCTATTAATGTTTGATTATGCTATTTAGATAACAGTTACTGATAATTATCACCCTAAATCTTAAATAAACATAATAATTGGTCTACGATTAAAACGGTAGACGCCATAAAGGTGTAACGCGTCTTCGCACATTTTCGGTCACATAAAATAAATACTTTTACGGACACATGGGTGCATGGACGGTTGTGAACTTACCGCTGGGGTAGACAAGGCAGCTGTTTAGCTCTCTTCCCTGATTGGCTCTTTTCTCATGTTAAAGGTCATATCACTGTGGTTCGCGCTCGTCAAACATCTCGTGCTGGAAGGCAGACGACAGATGTACTACGAACCACAAAGAAGGGGTTAAAGTTGTCTTTTTACTGTTAATAAGTTTTGGAAGTGTTTTGGACATAACTGCAAAAGAATTTTGTTCCGTATTCATCGTTATGGAGTAAGAGACCTGCGTGGTACCATCTTCATAGGCTTGTAAGGAATATCACAAAGACAGTGCCACGCGCCTTACCGAAACCTTACGCGTGCCAGAACGGATGCTGCAGATGAAAGGCAGCTGAGGATTTATGTTTATGACGTTTCAGAAGTTGATCAAAATGGCATGGACAGCGATTGTATTGTTGATGTTCTTAATATTGGCCGATGTTAAAGCCCAAGGTAATGTATAACGCTTATATACTTATGTTATGCATTCTGTAAATAGTCTGAAGGAAATATGTATTTGACTTTTACAGTCCTATTTTAATGCCAAGTTGGCTTTCGGCAAAAATAAAGGATTTAACAATAACATTTATTTTCATAGGACTGTCATGCATTTTTGCAAGGGGTAATTACTGTCATTTCAGGTACATATTTTGGCAGTTAAGAAAACGTCATTTCTAACGTTCAGTTGCTTGTTGGATGTTGAAAGATGTTTTTTCGTGGTTTAAAATAGAATGTTCTTGTTTACACATTCTGTTATACTACGCGGTTAACTTGACCCATAAAACGACTGAATTTGTTCAATAATAAATTCTTTTGTCGTTCGCTCATCAAGACAAATATTGATTCGAAAACATGTAATACAGATTTATAAAGTCATAACGGACATGTATTTGAAGACCCCAAACTTTGGAGTTGGGTTGGTCGCGTGCATGCCATCAGGCGACATGATTATGTCTTTGAAGTTCTTAAACAAGTTGAGTGTAAGGCTGTACATATATTATATTTAAAAGACCATGCGTGGTGTACAAATGTTAATTAGTTCTTTTACTTCATTCATGATGTTTCGATATCCAGGTTAATACTAATTAGATAAAAAAAAAACATTTTAACAAGAAAATGTCAATGACCGTGAGGTATAAGATAAGGTAAGATAAGATTTTATTGTATCGAAACATCCATTGAGGACAGCATACAATATAAACATATGTACATGTCATAAATAACAATATGTGATATTTGGCCAAAAAACAAAAACAAAAAAAAAAACAACACAAAAAAAAACGCAGGTGCATTTTCAAGAATGAAACAAAAGTAAGGTCTGATAAATGATGATTTATTGATGAAAAAGTTGATTCTTAGGAGATTTGATCAGACTATCGCAAATGCATAGACATCAACAAAATGCCCACACAAGTGCTTATCGTTTGGGGAAAGACCAAGTTCAATGGTTTTAAATCTTGTATTGTTTAGTGTATATTTTGTAAATGAAATATTTTCAACTACCATACGCCAGCTGTCGATCTTATCCATGTCTTTATTTTAACACACAACCGAGTACTGAAAGATAACCCCCAGGCTAAAGAAATCAAAATACTCTAAGGTATTTTTTTTCTCCAGTTTACCATATTATATTATACCTCTTTATAGCGTAGCAACTGAACCATGATATAAAGGCTATTTTATAGTTTGGAAATTTCAACACATTTCTCTGCGCCCCGGGGCAACGAGAGAATAATGATATAGAACTTTATTTACAACTGTTTTGTCATTAATCAACGAACTTAAAGGCCACCCCCTAATAACAATTACTCATAACACACGACATGATGGTGTCAATAGTTACAATATCTCTATTTTTTACCCAACAAATCCATAAAATGGCGACATTAAGATGAGTCATGTCAACGATTTAATATTAACAAGTAATGAGTTTGCTGCCGATTGGTCAAGTGTGTTTCTTGACGTAATAAGTTGATTTTTTTTAAAATCAAAACTGTATTGAAATTGGAAGATAAGTGTCATTTTTGTTGACACCTCAAATGATCAATTTCCATATGATTGATTGGAAATAATATTTTCGTTTGCATACCATTTACTCCATCTGCTGATGGTTGTTGGGTTAAGGAATTGCTCATTGCAATGAGCTAATGTAAAAATGTAAAATGAATATTATGCTAAAGCAATGGATGGAATATCTTTGAAATGATATTAAATCACTATTAAATGAAACTTGTTGGTAAATTTTGTGTTGCCTGAATATTATCTGGAGTGTCAATAAAGAAACCTGGAAACGCGGTCGACATACTTGCTGAGTGGAAATTTGAAACTTCCTTATCAAGTTACAAATTGTATGTAGAAAGCAGGTTAAAGTGTAATGGGTAAGAGACCTTTTATAGCAGTGATGCAAGATACATCTACACTAAAATCTTTACCAGATGTCAACTTCTCAAACTTCTGTTTATCATCATCAAAACTCTGAACTTTTCATTAACAGTTTCCGGCATTTGCTTAAAACATATGATTAAATTACAGCTTGAGTTGTAGCCACGCAAATGAAAAAAAAATGCTTTAGCTTATACGGTGAAGTTACAAATGTTGGCCCAGTAACCCGCTTGACACATAAAAATATTTCTGAAAGGATGACGGAATGAATGAAACCAGTAACTTGATATTTCCACCGACGTAAATATAGAGCAATGCTTGATTTTATTTTAAGAGAGAAAATTTCACTATTAGTTTCTTTATAATATTTGATGGAATTTCACGAAATGAACTTGTTTGGCATTCTTTCAAAATCGAAAAATAATTAATTTAACCATCACTGTCTTTTGGAAGAAGCCAGTATTGACCATATCAACGGAGGTCACATATAATTCAATTTTCTCCAAATTAGAAGAGTGGTTATTATTAACATGTGCAAGGCAGGCCGGCAGTTTATTGAATTTAGACAGTGTTCAATATGTTACTGTGATGTTGAATGGTTTTCAAACAATGGCAATCCATAGCAGACTGCCATCTGTTCTCCTGTTACTATTAATAGACCAACACCCCATCAACCGTTCTTGAATGGACGTATTGAAGAACTGGAGTTGGGTTCGTGAAGTTTTATAGTAATAAAATATACGAACTGGGAATGTCATGGGTCGGTTTTCAATCAAAATTAGCAACAGTTAAAGCTTCAAAATGTATAGCATTGCTTATCTTCTGTGTGTAGCAGTTCTTTTGTGGTGCCCCAAACGAGTTTCAGAAAGAATGTTTGTTTTCTAATAGACAGTGTAGCACTAACTGCCAACAAAACCACAAACAATACAGACAACCCGACATGTCAGTGAGTGACCGAGCTCTTTACAACAACAAAAAGTATGATTCTAAATGATTCATGAAGTAGCAATCTAATCACAATGTCAGAATGAATACAACAGTATAAAGCACACAACGTGACAAGGGACATCTCTCTCAGAGATTGGGGGTTAGATGGCCGAATAGTTAGCGCGTGCGCGCTGTATCATAAGGTCTGCCGTTGGGTCAACTGGCATGGTTTCGATTCCCCGGTTGTACGTGACAAGGAGTAGGGCGCCTGTTCAACCTCGTGGATTTTCTCCGGGTCCCTCGGTTTCCTCTCACTGCTAAAGACCCCTTAGCGCAAAGCGAATTATTGAAATAAAATTGAATCATGTGTAAGTCCCGAAATGACCTAGTTTGTGTCGAGTGGAGGTTACCCTCTCTCTCTCTCTCTCGCTCAGAAATAAACCCAAAGAACTGTTGTCAGGTATTCCGGAAATAATACAGACACACCTTCTAATGAACTATTGTTGTCAAGTGTTCCGGAAAGAATAAACACACGCCTTCTAATGAACTGGCCAGTGTATTATGAATGTAACCAAGTCCAACGAAATTTAGAATGCATAATTACAAAGTGTATAAAATTATAGGAACATAGGCCTACTTTCGAAAAAAACGGGTGTCAGTGTTGACCTAATTAATCAGACATTAAAATACATTAGAAGGGACACTAGATATCACTTATTAATAGCTGTTGGACTCTCGTATCCAAAACGGGTATGGTGTTTCCAATGTGTCATCTTTAAAATTCACTGTGTGCATTCAAGCAGATTTCTTTTCTTTACTGAATCCAGTTTTTATCACATTTTCTTATTATACGAAGGTATAATACACGCCCTTGTATTTTAGAGAGAATGTATGATGACCTGAACTCTCAAGCAACGTGGGTTACTTTGCACAATGCAAGTATCATATTGCAAGATGTTTATAAATTTGAATAACTTTTTGAAGAGGTTTTTAATGGTGTCGTATTCATTATCCACAATAATAACGTAAGATATAATATAGGATGAAAACCGTGGGAATATATTAGAATATGCAATTCAGGTATCTTTTATTAGGTTAACAAATAAATCTAGAAATCTTGACGCCTTTATGTAATTATATATACGGTCTTTGGGTTAGACGTCTTAATGTTTTTTTCTAGCTTATGTGAAATGTTGGAGAAATACTAGAATATTTATGTGTATCTACTTAGATATGCATGTTGATACGTAAACTGATTGTACCCGTTTCCTCTTAAGTCACCTTAACCTAGCAGTTTTCTCATGTATATTTGTAATTTCTGAGCATGTGCGTGTACACGTCTTCAACCAGTACATGTTATGTTTTTCTCCTGAAGAATTTAGTAGCATAAAATAAAAGGAAGAGTTGTTCTATGTTAGATGTGCTTGCGTCATTTAAACATTTGCAAAGATAAAACCAAAAGAATTTATCTATCCAGAAACACATTTTGGAGAACCAGAATTTGTAGTATATTTTGATTAGCTGTATATTAGCTCTATTCCCAGCCGTCGTTTGGGGTCAGAATTACGTCTTGTTAAACGTGTGTTTAAAATATACGTATACTAAAGATTTACAACACCCCACTCAAACATGATTTAGTCTGCATAATTGTATGGTAATTTGTAACCTTTCATACATTTATATATTTTTGTAGATTTTACTAAAACAGAATGTTTGTCTGGAAAAGAAGAAACGGATATTGAGATCGAATGTCCGGTTAATATGAAAATCGCAGTTGAGCAAGCCATATATGGAAGAAATAAATGGGAGTCGTGCAAACATACTATTGGTGATTGTACAGAAAATATCGACATTTTTCAATCTTGTCAAGGCCAAGAAAAATGTAGTATCCAGTTAAATAAAACGTATTCACCAAAGTGTGGATATGCAACATTCTTACGAGTCTTGTTCGACTGTGTATCAGGTAAGCTGGCGGTGATATATTACCAGTATATTAATGTTAAATTAGTTAGAATCTGTGGTATAATCCACGATTTTAGATCTAATTATTATAATCTTAAACGTAATCACTATCAGCTGGAGCGTTTTAATTGCTGTTTTTATTAAGCTGATTCTATTTCCATGCATGTTCTGTATTATATGCTTCTATTTCGCAGGCACTGTCACCTCATCACGAGAATATATTCCATCGCCGCCTACAGAAACAAGACTGTCGTCACCGCCTGTTGCCATTAGAGACGACAGCCCGAGTAGAACTCCTGATCAAGTTTCTAATACCGAAGGTAAGACTCCCTCTATTCAATCTTAAACTAAACAGAATGGATATATAATGATTTGAGTGAAAAATCTATGGCGGATGAAATATCTGTTACAAAACTAATTGCACGAAACTTGTCCTAAGTTGTTACAATAATTGATGCAGTACACCCATCCACGAATGAATATTACATTGCAGTATCTCTTGAGATATCAGAAGATACTCAGCAGACAGGTCTCGAGCTCCCCAGGGCATATCTGGTTTTCCGTGAAATACGAGTTCTCCTAAATGCAATATTTATCTTGTCTTAAAAAGCTATTTTTGTAAGTTACCGTGTCTGATATGATTGTGTATTTTTATTTTAAGAAGCTGGTTTAATAGCTGGTTGTGTGATAGCTGTTATTATTACAACTATAATGTTACTTTTTGCTATCTACCTGGTTGTTAAACGACTCGTCAAGTAAGTTTTCTTTGTCTTCAATAAAACCAGACGAACCTATTAAAGTTGACTCAGCTGGGTATGTCATGGGGTAAACATTGAGGGTGCCTTGTATTGTTGTGTTGATGTATTTGGCGCAGGATTAATTATGAAATTAACACTTTTAACCCGTGCAAAGCCGAGCAACTAAAAAATATGAACAATCACCCGGCAGTCATCCCCAAAATTTGCCACAATGACTATGTGAATTTTATTTTACAGATCTCCCCCTGGTGATTTTGAGAAAGGACCAGATGGAACACCAAGACCTAAACCAGATATTGTAATATTCGACTTCTGTTTCTGTGGTAGTAATTCACATCCAGACAAACCAAGACCTGTTGCTGATCAGAATCAAAATATTCAAAATTCCGCACCTTTGCGTATTTCCGACCGTCCTGTGCCGATTGGAGAAGTAACAGTGGCTAATATCGATGAATTCAGACACGAGAACGAAGAGACAATAACGGCATCCGTTTCTAATGATACGGCCTACACAGTCCTTGATGCAGCGTCACCAAGCGTCATTGCTGAAGTCCAACCTCATCGGACTCCGCGAAGGCACCAACAGATTCCAACAGACAGTGCCAACACGGCAATTGGATTACCCAACACAAACTCAGTCACTGCGTGCTGATAATCTCGCTAACAGCAACATTCGTACTAAAGAACAATAAAACACAAACGTTTTTATAATAACAACTCAGTTCGCATCATCCATTTATATCAGCGTACGACTTCATGGCCGGCCATAATGATATTAACAGACCGCCATAACACTCATCTGAATAAGTACTTTTCCATATTCGTCGTATAAACTTTAAATCAATTCATATGAATACGTGGGTTTGTATTTAGCGTTACGTGATACGTTTGTGTTCGGATGATGACATTTGCATTTGCTCATACATATTACATAAATGTAGTCATACATTAATCATGTTTCATCGACGAGATTGATATATCAAGTTATCATTTGTATTTTTTTAAAAAAAAAAACTATGTAGGTATGTTATTTAAAATAATATCCTCTGAACGTGTGCTTGGTGTGAAGTGAAACCAGTGTATATAATTGTGTAAATGTCTACGTCATGTCTCCAAGAGATGCATAATAATTATTATTATTATTATTTACTATTTATTCTCTGGTATTGCTCATAAATATCAGCCCCAACCTTTACTCTGATTATAGATTGAGGTTTTATGTTATAATGAACCATTTCTTTGTCTTCCCTTTATTTTCTTTCTTTGACTCTGTATCTTTTACAGGTTATTCTTTAGAAACATCTGTTCTCGGCAAAGATCAATTTTGATATGTTAAAATAAATATATTAATATTAAAATATGTATTAAAATGTCTTGTTATAGATACATTATGTAAGATTTAGATAAAGAGCTAAGATATAATAGTTGAAAAATATATAATGAAAAGGGAATATAATGAAAATTTAAGTCAAATTACCCTATTGAGAGCGAAGTTATGACTCTTTGAAGTTTTGATAATAGCGCAGTCTGGATTTTTATATGCCCACATTTCCACGTGGACGTATTTTGTGGTCGCCTTTGTCCGTTCGTCCGCCCACAATTTGTTTGTGGACATTATCCGATTTGGGCAAAACTTAAAATAGAAGTCAGTCTTCCAAAGATCTCGGTTCCTTTCGAAATTGGCATGTATCGGACCGTCACTTCATGGATTATGGCCCCTGATTGTACGAAACTTCGCGTTTTTAGCTTGTTGACACTCTAGATGTCAAAATTTTCAACCATTTTTGATGAAACTTAGAATGTATGTTTATAACCCATCTTGGTTCCCTTCGATATTAGTGCATATCGGGTCGTAATTTCCTGGATTATGGCCCCTGATTGTACGAAAAATCGCGTTTTTATCGTGTGGTCCCTCTAGAGGTTCGAATTTCGTAAAAATCGGACCGAAACTGTCAGATAAAATGGCTGCTCCTCGTACGCAAATAGTGTAAAAGTATGGTATATCAAGGTTGTGGAACCTCTAGATGTCACAATTTTGATGAAACTTTAAATTTATCTTTTTATCACAAAGATCTCGGTTCCTTTCGATAATCGCACATATCGGAACGTAACTTCCAGGATTATGGCCCCTGTTTGTTCGAAAAATCACATTTTTAGCTTGTGGACCCTATATTCAATTTTAAAACCCGTCAATATATCACCGTTACACCCTAATGATGGTTGAGTTCGAATTTCTTAAAAGTTTGATCAAACCTGCCCGACAAAATTGCTGCCCCCTGTACGCGAATAGTGTAAAAGTATGTAATACCAAGGTTGTGGACCCTCTAGAAGTCAAAATTTTAATCCGATCTTGATGAAATTTAAAATATGTTTAAATCCAAAAGATCCGGATTCATTTCGATATTCGTGCATATCGGACTATAACTTCGTGGATTATGGCCCCTGATTGTACAAAAAATCGCAATTGTTTTTTTTAGCTTTTTCTCTGCCCATCTCTTTCAAAATGTGGGCGTATCTTTCATGGCAACCGCTGGTTATTGCTACCGTTGTTACAATAATAAGCAAAGTCCCAATTATCGATTTGTATACGCCTACATGTCCGGACGATATAGCTGCTGTGGGCGTATGCTTCGTTGTCTGGCAACCTATCTTTTAATTAAATTATCAAATAGCGATCGTGTATCAATCTATTAAAATTCACAGCCATTTAATTTGAGGGCAAAAGAAAGACCATATTCCTGAAGCAATGGCCCAAGAAATACCTCTCTGAAAACTTGGGTTTTTGACTGAGCGTGCCTATTCTCATCGACCAATCAAATCTCTCCCGAGTACAGTAGAATTAAGGGAATTTGCATAATGGGGGTGACCTCTTTAAAAAAAAAAAAACGTTAGTATACTAAGCAGCAAAAGAAACGTCGGGTTGGAATGTTACTCTGAATAGATTCATTGCATAAAACTTGCCAAATGTTTTTATTGTATATTTGTGACCACATCTCCAACTTTACCTGAGCAATAAGGCTCCTTCCCAAACACAGAATTGAACCCAGGAAATGTTCTCAAAAACGCAACCTGACTTCTTAGATGGTAATGTGTAACTCATGCTGCACGTGCTGTTCATCTGGACCAGCCCTATAAAATGCACCCCCATACCTGGTCGAATCATTCACACTACAACGTCAGCGGCATGCCACGACTCACGACAGCTCAGAGGAACAAGGCGATTGGAACCAGGAGCTTTGAAGACTCGATGCTGGCCACACTGCTCAAGCCGTTGCCAATCACTTCCAGGTCAATGTTCGGACCATCTACGGCTTCAGCAACGCTTTCGGGCCACCAACACCACAGATGATCGCCCCGAACTGGTAGACCAAGGCTTACCACATGGCTACAAGAGCGCCATGTTGTGCGACAGCACGTGCAGAATCCCTTCACACAGGCATCTGAGACAGCACGTCAGACAGTGGGAACACACGGAAGACCCATCAGTACCGATACAATCCGCCGACGTTTCACCGGAGAGAACATCCATTGCCGTAGACATTATCGTGGACCGATCCTCGCCATCGGCGTGAACGTCTATCGTTTGCCCAACAACACCAGGACTGGCGACACAGGCAATGGAAAACTGTTCTGTTCACAGATGAGTCAGTATTGCGTATCAGCTGCAGATGGCAGGACCAGAATATGGCGTCGACGTGGCCAACGTTATTCTGACCAATGTGTCATGGAACGAGACTCATGGGGCGGTCCAAACATAACGATTTGGGGTGAAATCGGCCTGAACCAGAGAGTGGGTCCTGTGGTGTTTCAAAATCTTGGTCCAGGGAGAGGAGGCGGCTCTCAGACCCCACGTCATACCACATTTCGCACGTCATCGAAACAACGTTTTTCCAGCATGGCAAAGCCCGTGGCCACACCGCCAGAGTTACTCGGGACTTTCTGCAGCAGAACGGTGTCAACGTTATGCACTGGCCAGATCTTAGTCCGGACTTAAACCCGATTGAACATCTTTGGGATGAAATTCAGAGGAGACTGCATAACGTCGTACCGAGACCAAACACAGCCGATGGATTGCGCCAGGCTTTTCTGAGTGTGTGGTTCCAGATGCCAATGGCGTTCAACAATCGTCTGGTCCCTCCCTATACAGACGCTGCGCTGCTGTTATTGGCACTCGCGGTGGACACACCAGATACTGATGTATAGACTGTGTACAGACTCTAAACCTTCTCGTAATTTCTTGGAATTGTGACGAATTAATCACTAATGTGTCAACATTCTGTTCACAAAAAATTGAAATTGCTTTGATTCACTTAGTAAGTCGTTTCTAGAATGATTTGATTAAAGTGCCTCTCTGATTTTGAAATCGTACTGAGTTTTTTTGGGTTTTTTTTTTTTGCTGTTTAGTATATTTGTTAGTGTTGATCTCAAGAAATTTTTACCCTTGGATATACCGGTATATATACTCTTCAAAAAGGTAGGGGATATTGAAATGTAAATACCTATGCAGGTTGTAATATGATAAATAGTCATGGACACTTGACATGCTTTGAGAGTATGTTCACAGATGAAGAACTTATCGCCCCAACAGAACCACTGAGCTGCAAGTGCGACACGCAATAGCGCCATACACGTGGGAGGGGTTCATTGTCAAATTTGACACTTTAAGGAAGGGTTGACGAAAACTGCCGCGTGATGGTTTATCCTATATATGCTTGCTTTCCTATCGGTTCTTGCATAAGATTTACTGTTTAGCGTATATTTGCTTTAGTGTGTTACGTTTAATTTGCAATGAGACGTCTTCAACATGATGAACGTCTACGTGCTATTAGCATGCTTCAAATGGGTTCTACACAGCGAGCAGTAGCCAACATGCTTAATGTGTCACAGTCTGTGATCAGCAGACTGTGGAACCGGTACCAACAAACACACAATCAGCTTTCTGTAAACTTGTACTGAGTTACACCCCAAACGATTATAAATCGGCTACATGCAGCCCATTTGCATGCGCGACCGCGTGTTGTGCCTCCATTAACTCGCCAGCACATGGCAAACAGGCGTCAATGGTGTAGGCAGCGTAGAAATTGGGGTAATCGTAGATGAGTCCAGATTTTCTCTGGATTTCACCGATAGGCTTGCTCGCGTTTGGAGGCGTGTAAATGAGCGCCATGCTAACGTTAACGTCAGACAGCATGACAGATTCGGACATGGGGAGGAATCACCATGACTGGCAGAACGGACTTGCATATTGTTCAAGGAAGGGTCACTGGTGTGTACTACCGTGACCACATCCTGGCACCGATAGTTCTGCCCTTTGTTCAACGCGCAGGTCGACGTTTCATCGTTAAGATGATAATGCCCGTGCCCACCGCGCTAGTGTCGTGAAGAAAGCTTGCCGCTTATAGAAAGAAGTTTTCAAAATGACTTCGTTTGATGAGTATGTAGAATTTTCATTGCAAAGATTTCCTTTGTTTAAAGAACATCGGATAAACTAGAAAGAAAAACAGTTTCAGACATCCAAATCTTTGTGGGTGATGCTATTTCTAACCCGAGAACTTGAAAGTAGTTCCAATGGCGAACTTGGTCATACAGCCGAGGCTAGATGTAGGGTACTGGAGGCTGCTGAGGTTTGCCGAATCTGGTTACCTCTAATAAAAACAGCAGTGCATTTCCGCAGTTTTTTTTTGTTTCTGAATATCCCCTAGTTTTTTTTGAAGAGTATAAATTCTATATAATCGTGTCTGTACCAACATTAATTATTACTGTCTACATTTAAGTATTTTTATCAAAAAAGCACACGTCAAAAAACTGTTAAGTCGTATTTCTATCCAGTTTGATAAAACACAATACGTAACATGACATTGACAGTCCTTCTCTCTGATCTGGGGTCTTCCCTAAAACTTCGTACAGTTGATTAAATGTATTTAAAGATGGTGAAAATATTGTTCGTTTGCTGTGTTGATAAAAAGATTCCACGTGCGGCGATTACCCAATGTGTACGTTGTAGCTAATTTGGATACCCTCGTTTGTCACACAATTAGATTTTTCTGCTATGCACTGGTTACGTAATATATTTCGCGCGTTATGACGTAATGTATCCGCGATTGACATTATATACCTTTATAACTGGTTAATACAGAATCATTTTCAATTTTTTTTATAATTCTGCGGTTAAAAACTCCAGTCTCTTGCGCGAATGAACGTTCCTTCGGTAATATGAAACGAATTAAATCAACTCGTAAGTAATGCCAATCGTCAATGATAGTTTTCCAGGTAACAAAACACACAGCCTCAACGTGTGATCCTTGAATATAGCCTGCTGTAAAACGTCCCTTAATTAGAGAATTGGAATAATAAAGTGCAATATCTCCAGAAGTAATTATCAGAAATTGGATGATAAACGTCTCTTAGTGTGATCGCACGTTATTATGGACAGCGGAGAACAAGGCTTGAAAACCACCTAATTTTGTGCATCCGCCATCAAATCGCGGTTCTCTTATAAATATCTGCACAGTTATAGATTGTCGTGATTTTCTTCAGCGTCGTAATTCCCCTGCCCACCGGCAAAGGGATAGCAAGATTTTCTTTGTGCTGCAATCACCTCGTGCGTGGGGTTGGATGGCCGAATGGTTAGCACACGCGCGCTCTATCATACGGTCTGTCATTGAGTTAACTGGCGGGGTTTCGATTCCCCGGTTGTACGTGACAAGGAGTAGGGTCGCCTGTCCAACCTCGTGGGTTTTCTCCGGGTCCTCCGGTTTCCTCCAACTGCTAAAGACCCCTACTCGCTAGCGAATTATTGAAATAAAATTGAACCACGTGTTAGTCCCGAAATGACCTAGTTTGTGTCGAGTGGACGTTAAACCCCATTTTTCTCTCTCTATCTCTCTCCGGTTTCCTCCCACTGCTGAAGACCCCTACACGCAAGCGAAATATTGAAATAAAATTAAACCATATGTTAGTCCCGAAATGACCTTGTTTGTGTCGAGAGGACGTTAAACCCCATTTCTCTCTCTCTCTCTCTTTGTGATGCAAAATTCGGGAGTGGGGTTTTCGTCAATTCAGCCACCCTCTCTGTCTCTGCCCCTAGTCGCGACCCCTCCTCCACGTGATCCGTGTTGCTTATTTGTCATCGTAAAATCTAATAAATCGAGAATCTGAAACATGAATTAATTGTACCTGAATGGACAGCCCGGATCCCAACTCGACCAACTCTCAAGTGTCTGGATCCAGTGTGGATCAGGCACGTTCTTGGCTAATTGATGCTGAGACCTCTTGCTGGTTTTAGTTTGTGTATGTTGTTTTTTTTTGTTTTTTTTTTATGGACAAGGATTTGGTTCTCTCGCGAGTAGTGAGATTTTCTCTCTTAAAATAGCTCAGAATGGTCATTTAGAGGGTCAAAATTCCAAAATTTTAGTGCGGGCTCGGGGGCCCCGTATCTTGCTCCAACAGTTGCAAAACCTTACAAAATCGACTTTTAATACTAGATAATATTATATTGTGTTTGAAATGCATTCCAGAATACATTTATAACACAATCGTTTAATATGCTTTCGTATTAGTGACACTAAGAAGCCCATCGAATTAACGCAATATCTAATACCAAAGCGTTAATTACATCTGGAGTACGAGCACTGGCTGAAACTTTTTAAGCCTTAACAGGATAGATCAATTCGATTGAAACAATATTTTGCCACCAATAAGTACAATCATTGAATGAGTCATAGACATAAGAACTGCATGTTTAGTGTTATTATTGTCTTTGTGAACTTACTCATTGAAATCACCATAAATGGACAAAACTGGCTAACTTCAACACGTGGTCTCCATTTTAGGAGATGACGCCCCTACCTTTTCCTTGAGTGAATTAAATTATTAATCCTTATAAACAAGCGGGTTGCGTAATTTAAGGGTGGCAGAGAGGGCCTTGGCAGTGACCGCACGTCCTGGAAGAAAACATTACCCCGGAGCATGACATGGTGATGGTTGATCGACGATTGACCACTCGGCATATTGCCGACGGTTCAGCACATTATTGCCAATGAGTTAGGAATGACAAAAGTTTCTGCAAGATAGGTGCCAAAGCTTTTGAGTACGGACCAGAAACGGTTTAGATTCCTGACTGTCCGTGACAATCTGCGCCGTTTTAAAGCAGATCCTGGTCATTTTTATGCCAGATTTGTAACCATATAGGTGAAACTTGTTTCCAAAAATGAAAAAGGAACTAGCCGGATGTCATTTGCCTAGTACTGACGACGCCATGTCAGCTGTAAATGACATTTTCAGGGTGACTGAAGAAATTTTCTTCGTAACCGGCATCCAGCAAAACTGCCGCACTAGTGCTGTGCATTGTCAATATACTTGGCGGATGCTCGATTGTACGTTCCGAATTGAATTCTGTCAAACCCAAAAATAGTGACAACCGAGTGAAAATGGGATTTTGGGCTAGAACGCATGTGCTGGCTGCATGAGAAAATATCTCAGCCAACCATGGCAGCTGAAACATATTTGTTATGTTTCATTACGTCACGGTTCAACTCACACCACCTCAGTTGTCGGGACTGACAGAACTGTGACAGGACTGAATTACGCCTCACTCGATTGCAATTTCGTCAATTCGGAACGTTCCCGACGGACAATCGAGCACCCCCTAGTTCCGGGCCCGTAGCCATGGGGTGTCTAAGCCCCCCCCCCCCCAATTTTTTTTTTTTCCGCAGACAATAATGATTTTTTAGGAGTGTTAAAATTGGTAGGCGACTCGTATAGGCTCGTAGCATGGTCCACCGAGGCCTGCCTGTCATCATCAACTCCGGATCCTCTTGTCTTGTATATAACTACTGTGAGGCGCGTTGGTCTACTGTCACTTAACACGTGTTCTCGCTCATCACACTCACGTACTCGCGGCTCCTCTCGTCTCGCCTAGTCCTACCGGCCTAGCATCCGACTCGTGTCCAAGGTTTCCATTTGCACTGGTAGAACTGGCAGAACATTTTTGAACGTTTTGAGATTGAAAATTCGATAGCGACGAAGACAAGACGATGGATGCATTTGTAATTAGAAAGAGACCATCGTCTTCCGATGACGTCTACCACACCGGCACCAGGATCAGCAGCAGCTCATTTCAACGATTCGCCGCTTGTTGTCCAGTCCAAGACGAAAGCGGCTTGTCAATCTGATCTTGGCGATGATGTGCCAGCGCCCAGCCCAGCCCCATGTAGTGAACCCACCCTAAACTACGTTTGGGAAACAGACTCGTCCATTTCAAAGTGGTACACTGATCGTTCTTGGCTCGAGTACTCGGTCCATGAAAAAGACGCGTTTTTCTGTTTTCCGTGCCGGAAATATCTTTCTAGTAATGAAAAAGATCATGTTTTTACGCATATACTGTAATTCTATGAACAGAATAATAGAATACCTATAGTTCACTTGAAATTTGATACTACAGCTGTATTGCCCATCAAAAGACACGCTAATACCCTCAAGATGATATCGGCGGGAGGAGTCGAAGAAGGAAATTTCAAAAAATTTAGTCATAAAACCATGCCGGAGGCACTTCAATTTGAGGCCCAGGAATGCACTCAGATGCGAGAGCACAAAATTTTCTGAGGGAGGACCCGAAGACCCCTCGCTCTGGCTCGCGCCTTCGGCGCTTCGAGGGGGCCGGCTTAGCCAGCCACATCCTCAGCCCCTCCAAAAAATTCCATAGCCCCACAAAATTTTACCAGCTAGCTACGGGCCCGCCTAGTTCTTAGTGAGGAGGCGAATAAGGCCATCGCCTGCTTGGTCCATGCGTAAATACGCCCGCGCATGGACCAAGCAGGCGATGGCACAGTCAGGGATTCGTAGTCAAAAGTGTTGTCATAGTTATATTCAATGACATCGTTCTGTGTAACTTTATCTTTACCTGCTATTTCCCAAATAGTATGCCATTTCCTAATACCATACCTCAAAAGACAAGAACGGCAACATTCAAGACTTTTTGGTTTGAACATACAAACTAGGCATGACGTTATTCTTATAAGTAATAAACGATAATGATTACTTTATTATAGCGCTAACTATTTTTTGCATCATCTAGACTTCCTAAAATAAATTACAAAATTAATGTAACAACAGGGCTTACATGAACATGATGTAAACATTAACAGAACACATGCTTGCAATAATATTTGACATTATGATACAGTTTCACCAGTAGTTTAAATGTAAAGCAATGAATTAAAAATACTTTTCTACGTCTATTCAACTGCCAGTGCTTAATAAAACATCATCCAGACTTTCTTGGGTAACTTTACTACAAAATACAACCTAGAACAACTTTACATGTAAAGCAATTAATTCAAAATACTTTCATACATCTATTTAACTGCCTGTGCTTAAAAAAACATCATCCAGACTTTCTTGGTTAACTTTACCTAACTTTAATCTTACTAGAACAACAATCAAAAGGAGACGTTTTGTTTATCTTCAGAGATGAAATGAAATGAAATGGATTTTAACGTCCTACTGTTCTGCTCCTAACCTGGGCTAATGAAGACGAACATACGCCATACAGTGTGCTATGAGGGATATTTTGCCCGGGCAGCGGTGCTACAGCATACTCTTATATCGAATTCCAACTGCCAAGGGATCTTTTACATGCACACCAATGTGTACACAGGACCTCGGTTTTTCGTCAATCTGAACGACTAGACAGTTGTCCTTGTCAGGCCCTCCATCCTGCATCACTGACAAAGGGAAACCACGCCGAAAAATCTGGTAGAACTCTCGGCCAATGCAGGGATCGAAATTTTCAAAGATCACAGCTTTGTCCACTATCTGGTGTACAAAACAACTTATATCGCAGGTTTTCTCAGTAAAACTCAAAACTTTTCCTGTAGTTTTTTGGTCTGAATGCACTAAACACTGCATTTGCTCGGCTCCTAAATCTGATTATGTATTTTTCGTAAAGGACGGAGGGCATGGCGATGAACAGTGTCTAATCGTTCAGATAGAAATAAACCTATCACCAGGTCTAATAAAATGAAATGAAATGGGGTTTAACATCCTACTGTTCTGCTCTGAACTGGGCTAATGAAGATGGGCATACGCCATACAATGTGCTATGAGGGAAATTTTGCCCGGACAGCGGCACTACGGCCTACTCTTATATCGAATTCCAACTGTCAAGGGATCCTTTACGTGCACGCCAATGTGTACACGGGACCTTGGTTTTTCGTCCCATCCAAACGTCTAGACAGCTGTCCTTGTCAGAGGTCTAATAAAGCAACTCGTGTGAATTAAACCTTACATCGTTAAAAGGCATCAATCACTATAGAGGCCATGGAAGTTCAGCAAGTACGGTGCAGGCTCAACGACCAGGTGTGGTTTCCCTTTGTTAGTGGTGCTGGAGAAAGGCTGCAAGGAATAGCAGTCGTTCAGATGGAGCAATCTGAACAATCTCTACTAAATGGACAATGGCTTCATCATGGATTTTAGATTCCAGAAACCTAAGCTGCAAGTAAATGAAAACCTAGAGGTGGGGCAACGGCCATACGCCTTCTAATTCATATTCTTTTTGCTAGTGGCATATGCAAAACATTTTGAGTGAATTAAATTATTAATCCTTATAAAGTATTATTATGCATATCCTACATAAAATATAACAAGCTTGTATTATAATAATAATAAAATATTTTATTACACATAGAAAACATATGTTATAATTAATATATCACAGTCAATGTGGAGTTACATTAGAGAGAAACAAAACACTTGAAATTGATAATGATTAATATTGATATAACAAGCAATGAAATTATGATCTTTGCTTATTTTTCTTTTTCAATTCAAACTGAACTGAAACTTTACTGCTAACTGTTAACACTGCATCTAGTTTTCTCTGATGAACGGATGGAGATATATCTGATGAGGATGGATAGTTTTCATTTGTTTCTTCTTCTTGTATACTGATCGTACGACCAACTTCCATATGCACAAGTTTTGCCATTTCCTGTGCTTTAAGTTTAGCATTATGAATTGCTAACAGACTGGCTTGTTTCCTGAAAAATAAATAAGAAAATGAAGTACCATACATCTGCCAGAACAAAAAAAGTTACTATTAGTCACTGTCAAGTATTGCCATTTTTTATTAGTACACACTACACTTGATAAAATCAATATTTATAAATATAATGAATACAATAATAAAATGTTCTCTATCTATATAAGCACTACAAATCCAGTATCGTTAACATGATGATAAGAATGTGTGTCATACATGTACAGTCAGTTATACTGGTACACTTATTCCAAAACTTCATATCAATTAAACTAACCTTAGGGATTCTATATCTTTATCATCATGAAAAAATTCTGGTAGAGATATGTCAACATTTTGATCCAATTTCTCCACCAATAAATTTGATAATGATTGACATTTAATTACATCAGAAAACTTTGCAGTTATTTCAGTTCTCATTACATAAAATCTGCCATCTCTTGTTAGTCTTTCATAAATATCTCTGTCATTTTGCTGAAATATACATAGAACACACTAGAAACTGTCAAATAAAGTGCCACACACTTAAAACTAGCAATTAAGGGGTTCCATTGAATAATATTGAAGAGCTATATCATTTAGTCATGCTAAAGAGCCAGAAGTACTGGTAATCTTACTTTGGATATCACAACCTAATTTTGTTTCAATAGTGATTTACTGTACATGTATGTATCAGTAGCCCGTTAGATTTTCTTTATAGAGATACTGTAAGCTTATAATAGACGAGGAGCCACAGTGGCTCAGTGACTAAGACATTTTTGCTCGCTAACCTGGAGGTGCTGTGTTCTATCTCTGCATTGGCCGAGGAAGTTCATGTGAATTTTCTGATGTGGTTTCCCCCTTGTCAGTGAACGTGTAGAACAAAGGTCTGGCAAGGGATGAAAAACAGAGGTGGCGTGCTCGTAAAAGAACCCTTGACAGTTGGCATTTGATATAAGAGTAGGCAGTAGCGCTGCTGTTTGGGCAAAATTTTCCTTATAGTACACTGCATGACCGATGCCGGTCTTCATTAGCCCAGTCGGAGCTGAACAGTGTCTGTAGGACGTTAAAAACCCCATTTCATCTTCTTCATTATAATATACATGCATTATCATACTTTTATTCCATAATTATTCAGACATTGTTGAATGTACTCAATTCTTCTTGAAACACTACTTCTGGCATCCTTCGCATCGTCTTTTTTAGCTGTCACAGAAATAGTTATTCTGCAGTTATTGGCTTGTAAACAAACTTCACCAACTGCGGACACCAAAATATGTCTATCATTTCGAGACACTGACTTTGTGTCAGTGTTCGTCTGTTCTATTGTTTGTAAAGTTGGTTTATTTTGTTCCTTCGACTGCAAATGTGTAAAAACCATTGTGGGACGATAAACCGCCATAAACCAGACCTACGCTAAAATCAAACTTATCGTGGTAGATTTAATTCTCAAATAGCACCGCCATACATTTTCATGCTTGGGCAAGAATGGGGTCCCTTGTGTAATTTTTACAAATCTTCCGCTACATTTTCGTATCTTTAGCAAATAACAACAAACTGTTTGAAATGCAAACATAAGTAACAAGGAAAGGTATGACATGTAATCACAATAACCATAAAAGTTGTAATCTGACATTGTGATTGGTAACGACTTGGGCGACAATCCGGAAGTGGAAATCTTATTTGGTTGTGACCTACTTCCTGTCGTCTAACCGGGCATGCAGTTTTTAGTCAGAAACATTTTTTTAATATTAGTATTGTAGTCCAAATTAGATAGTAAATAAGCAGGAATGTCTACTAATTTTGGTTCCAGACCTGGTGGAACTGATGGTAGTGACCATTGGCACAGAGAAAGTATTGCTTGGCAGTACAAAGTCAGGTATAAAATAATCTTTCATGTTCCATATTCAATAAATGGGAGCAGGTCTTTTCAATTTCACCCAAAACCCGTTTCACCAGGATCTGTTTCATCCCAAATTTACATGGGTCGTTTCATCCCCCTAAAATAGGTTTTTTTCATCCCATAAATTAAACATAGACTATTATATGAATTTTTGATATTTTATTATTGAGAAATAACAATTACAGCATATCTTTTAATTATGATATTTATTCACTTTTTATACGTCCACATTCATAATGTGAACGTATTATGCCGTCGCCCCTGTCTGTGTGTGTGTGTGTGTGTATGTATGTATGTGTGTGTGTGTGTGTGTGTGTGTGTCTGTGGTTCGCCTACAGGGCGCAATTCTTCATGGATTTTCTTCAAACTTGGTATACTTATTCCTTATACCCCAAGGAAGATCCCTATTGTTTTTGGTGCATGCCCGACCCCCCGGGGCAGAGCCACGCCCATTTCTAGTATTTGTTTGTTTGTCGTCTACAGGCCACATTTCTTAACTAATAATCTTGAAACTTTGCATACACATTCTTTGTACCCTAAGGAACATCCCTATCGTTTGGGGTGCATGCCCAACCCCCAGGGGCAGAGCCACGCCCATTTTCTTTTCGTGTGTCTTTGTGTCGCCTACAGGGCGCAATTCTTACTGGATTTTCTTCAAACTTGGTATACTTATTCCTTATACCCCAAGGAAGATCCCTATTGTTTTTGGTGCATGCCCGACCCCCAGGGGCAGAGCCACGCCCATTTCTAGTATTTGTTTGTTTGTCGTCTACAGGCCACATTTCTTAACTTATAATCTTGCATACACATTCTTTGTACCCTAAGGAACATCCCTATCGTTTGGGGTACATGCCCAACCCCCAGGGGCAGAGCCACGCCCATTTTCTTTTCGTGTGTCTTTGTGTCGCCTACAGGGCGCAATTCTTACTGGATTTTCTTCAAACTTGGTATACTTATTCCTTATACCCCAAGGAAGATCCCTATTGTTTTTGGTGCATGCCCGACCCCCAGGGGCAGAGCCACGCCCATTTCTTGTATTTGTTTGTTTGTCGTCTACAGGCCGCATTTCTTAACGCATCATATTGAAACTTTGCATACTTTTTCTTTGTACCCTAAGGAACACCCCTATCGTTTGGGGTGCATGCCCAACCCCCAGGGGCAGAGCCACGCCCATTTTCTCTTTGTGTGTCTGTGTGTCGCCTACAGGCCACAATTCTTAATCGACCGTCTTGAAAAAATTTCATATGAATTCCTTATACCCTAAGGATGATCCCTATTGTTCTTGGTGCATGTCCGACCCCCAGTGGCAGAGCCACGCCCATTTCTTATATTCATTGTTTGTTATCTACAGACCGCATTTCGTAACGTATCACCTTGAAACTTTGCATGCTTACTCCTTCTATCCTAAGGAACATCCCTATTGTTTGTGGTGAATGCCCAGCCCCCAGGGACAGAGCCACACCCATTTTCTTTTTGTGTGTCTGTATGTCACCTACAGCCTGCAATGCTTAATCGATCATCTTGAAAACTTTTTTATACTTATACATTATACCCCAAGGCTGACCTCTATTTTTTTGGTGATTGCCCAACCCCCAGGGGCAGAGCCACACCCATTTTTTCTTTGTGTCTCTGTGAGTTGCCTACAGGCCACGATTCCTAATGGATTGTCTTTGAACTTGGGATATGTTTTCCTTATAGCCTAAGGACGACAACTGCATGTCACGACCCCCAGGGGCAGTCATGCCCAATTTTTATGTATATCGTTTACAGGCCCGAATTCTGGATGGATCAACTTGGTATTTGGCATATGTATTCCTTATAGCCTAAGGGCATCAACTATTGATTTTGGTGAATGCCCCAACGCCCAGGGGCAGAGCAACGCCCAATTTTTGCCTTTAACGCCCAAAGGCCACAATTCTGAATGGATTATTTTGGAACTTGGTGTACTTATTCCTTATACCCTAAGGACGGCAACTAGTGATGTTGCCATTTCAATAACAGGATGGTACCTGTTTATATTGTTTCCATATCCAACCCCCATGGGCAGAGCCACGCCCAGTTTTTGTATTTATCGTCTACAGGCTGCAATTCTGAATCATCTTGGAACTTTGCATATTTATTCCTTATACCATAAAGACAGCAACAATTTATTTTGATACTTGCCCGGACCTCTTGGGGCAGTGTCACACCCACTTTACTGTTAGTATTTTGTCTGTAAATTTGGCAAAACAAACCCGACGCCTAGCCTTCTTTGCCTCTGATCATATTACAGCCATTTCATATTTCATTTTCTTCATTTTAAAAAGTACCATATCAATCAAAGCTGGAATGTGGACGTATATTGCAGCGTTAGCGATGCTCTTGTTCCCTGTTGTACGGATGCCATACAAATTACAATTTTACATATATTGATATTGCCCACTAGTTTAAAAAAAACAACAACACCGGTTGTTAAGGATCTGTCACTATATTGATGCTGTGAAGATTTTACCATTTATTTTACATTAAGTTTTCCTACAATTCTTGAAGTTGTATCCCTACCATTTGCCATTGGCATTGATTGTCTATTACGTAACTCTTTTTTCAGCAACAGCACCAAAATATAAAAGCTGATTCCGAAACCCATTGATCTAGAATTTAGACGTCAATGCCACCCAGAAATGCATGATTAAAAATTTATATTAATGAATGTCATCATGTAAATATTAATGAATGCCAGTTCTAGCTTGCTTTTGCAAGCAGCTAAATAATCTTTGTTGTAAATGCCTAAAATAAATAATCAAAAAAGTATTAATAACCAATATATAAATCAAAATTATAAATATATAAATCAAAAATTTAAATATATAAATCAAAAATATAAATATATAAATCAAAAATCAAAAATATAAATATATAAATCAAAAATATAAATATACAATATATAAGGATATAATTAAATAATATAAATATATGATATCAATAATATTTAAAAAGTTGTGCAATGAATTCAGAGGTTAGCCATGGTGTAAATCCAAAAGATAAATGATAATATTCAGTTTGTTCGTTGCTAAGGCTTTACTTCCGCTTCCACCTTGGTTGATATCGCAGACAGATGTTTCCTAAGAAACTTGTCAGAAGCATAATTTTTAAAAAAAAATCAAAACAGGAGGTCCAGCTGACTGATGTTTGGCGTCATCAGTGCGAACAGAAAAAACCCTGTGGGGAAAAAGAATCCACTTGCGTTATGTGGAAAAACGAAGTGCTCACAGTAAAAACCACATAGCTGGACCCGTGAATTACACATTAAAAACTGTTCGTCCAATAAGTTCCATATGGTTAATAGTTAGTTAAAAGTCCTTTAATACGGTTCACAGCGTCAGCGATTAAAAGTTAAAAGCATTCCATTAGGGTTTTTCTTGTGTATGACTCTCCCCAGATAAAAGTTACCTGAAAAGAAAAAGAAGAGCCAGCAGCAACACAGAGCAAAGCAATTAAAAAACAGATTAAAACATTTATAGAAATAATACATGACGTTAAATTTTTAGACATAAATTAAATTAAATTGATATGCATTGTCATTGTTAATAATGGTTGTGTAGGTCCCTATTCTTTTTTGTCATTATTTTCCCTAATTTATTACAGTAGGCAACAACAGTAGTTCCTTCCTTTGTAACTAGATATGTAGTTCCCTATCCTAATGTCAATTTATTCTGATATTATTAAAGCATGCAGCTGACTTAGCTGCCAACCTGATCTACACAACCAGTTATCTTTCCATGACTAGTGCTCTTTTTCGCAACTAACTTCACAGTTAATTCCTGATTCTGCTATGAATTTTGAGAATGCTTCATAAATTTTATAAGACATATTCCGAGAGGGGAAGAGTATATTTTGGAGGGTATATTGCAGTTTGGAATCTTCCATTAAGCCCCTTACTGGGAGTCTTTTCTCTTTCAATTTTTGCACTCAATGACCACATGATTAACGCTCAAAATGTGGCAGCATTCGCACTTCATGGGTTTATATTTATGGTCGGTAATTAAATCTTTAGTTCTCAGTCTTGTGATTATTCCACAAATTTTGCGGGATGCGTGATTGACCTTAGCCTTTACAACCAGATTGTTATTTAATTTCCCATTCTGGTTTAATCTTAGTTTTAACAATGCTGTTAAATTCCCGAACGCTATATTTTAGTCTTTGGTCCTTTGCAAGCCAGATTGTCTGCAGATTCTACAGTTTTATTTTTGTTTCGGAGGGAACAAACACTTCCTCGAATATTCTGAACAATTTCTGGTCTAGATGTTGTTTTATCATGTATTATTGACTTTATGCTGCTAAGGGAGTCTGACACAATGACTGCTCTTTGAACCGTGGATGACACAAGCCACTCAAGAGCTGTGGATATTGCCTTTAATTCTGCGGTATGGATGGAGCATCTATCTGGTAGCATATTCGTTATTTCATATGGCTTCCTATTTACATGTATGTAAATACAACTCAACTCCCACTCCAGTTATTTACATGTGTTTATTATCAATCCATAACAATTAAGTATGAGTATGTGTTTATTTAACAATAATAATTAATTATATGTTTATTTAACAATAAATAAGTGTTTAACAGGCTATTTACCATAAGTTAGATGTACAACTCAGTTAAAGATACATTATGGGATTTAGATAAAGAGCTGGAAGGTCTCACTATATAATAGTTAAAAACTAGATAATGTAAAGTGAATTTGCTGAAAATTTCAGTCAAATTAAATTGATCCACTATGAACCAAGATTTTAGCGATTGACTTTTCGGCCTAGCCTTGATCATCATTACTAAAGTCTGTAGGATAAAAAACATAGTCTTGATTATCCATTTAATTTAATGATTTAATTATGAATGAAAGTCGAACAGGAAATCAGAACCTAATCCAATAAACATCGCAGGCTAGCTATGCCATCGAGAGTTAATTATGGTCTGGATAAGTTAATTAATGTCTAATTAATAATTTAGATAACATTTCAGACCTAAAGAAAGACCTGCAATAGGCAGATTTAGCTCTTGCATAATGACACAAACTAGGTCATTTCAGGACTAAAACATGGTTCAATTTTATTTCAATAATTTGCTTGCGCATAGGGGTCTTTAGCAGTGGAAGGAAACCAGAGGACCCAGAGAAAACTGGGGAATCAGAACCATGCCAGTTGACTCAATGACAGACCTTATGATAGAGCGCGCACATGCTAACCATTCAGCCATCCACCCCCCCCCCCCCCCCCCAAAAAAAGGGAATGAAACAGTCCTATCAAAGAATAAACTGGGATGGAACGGACAGGGGTGAAATGGTTTTGAGATGAAACGAAGCGCACCCATATTCAATAGGGGGCAAGTTAACTCGTCCACACGCAAACTTGTCTACCTACAATTAAGTCGTCCACAACCATTGGTTAAGTCGCCCATAACCATTGGTTAAGTCGCCCATAACCATTGGTCAAGTCATTCACAACCATTGGTTTGGCTATGTTGTCCACAACTAATGGTTATTTCGTCCACAACCCATTGTTCTGATGAAACAAAAAAGAACAACTGACAAAGTTAGAATTCAATTGCTGTCCAGGCAAAATTCCTCTCACAGCATAGTGCATGGCTTACATGTACTGCATGGCATATATGCAGTTGGAGCAGAAATGTAGCACTTTATTCATTCAAGTAATGCTAAAACTTAATTTTTATTTTTCAGTACTATCAACAAGTCACGACTGCGTTTCGATATATTTCTGCAGTTATTGTTGGGATTTTTGATGTTTGTCCGGTTACTGCCAGCACTCTCAGCTTTGTTTGGCTTCTCTTTACAAAGCCTACGTCGTTGGGATTTACCAGCTCCACGTCCTTGGGAATATGCCTGGTTTATTAGTACTGTTGCAGCTATTTTAGGTTGGAGATCTACACCAAATAATAAAACATTTCTTCTTAAACAATATATGCTAGGAACAGTTGTTTTTGGAATTTTCCCCGTAGTGTTTGGTTTTATAGATTTAGGAAGTGATATGTATGCTTATATTACAGAACGAAAATACACGTACGTTATGTTTAGTTTTCCAGCAGTCCTTCTATGGTCAACCTTTCTATTTATAGCTGCTCAACTTCACATTTTTGGTTTATATTTCGGAACTGTTCTTCTTAAAGCATGGAAACCAAGAAAGAAGCAGCAATAGATTATGTAGCTTCTTTCCAGATAAAAAAAAAAATTAAAAGTGTGAACTTTTTTCCAGAAAATTTTGGAAAGTAGATAGATTTGGCTTGGTCATTGCTGTTTTATTATTCCATCCTAAGATTATACAACAAATATGTAATTGAAATATCACAGCCCAGTTTGAGTGCACACCAATAAAGGTTGTTGTTTATTAAATGTATGTTTATTCCTCTTGAAATGGATTGTATGACTTAATTTATGGTGTGTTTCAAAGATTATGAAGGTGGGCATTTTACCACTCTTGTCATATTTTACTTTCACATGAAACAAATCAAGATTGTAGCTGAATAGTAAAATGTATTTTTTACCTATAGATTTAAATTTTTAACTTTTACATCTATGAATGTTTGTCGAAAGTAATATTTTTCGTTCAGTTGTAAGCACACAATTTGTTGCTTATGTGAAATTGTATGGCAGTTGTCAATTACCAGCAAGAAAATCTTTTGACAATATGTCTCTGAAATTATATTCTAAATACAAATGATGATGAAAATGAGTTCTAGTCACTTCCCTATATGTTTTTGTGCAATATCTTTGACAATTTTAAACTAAGTAATTATTGTATATCAACACCATTTCAGCTGCAGTAACTTAAAAAAGCGTTTATTATATGTATGTACAAACAAGTAGTCTATATTTTATAAGAACAATAAAAAAAAACGATTTTTCGTACAATCGGGGGCCATAATCTAGGAAGTTACGGTGCGAAACGTACAAGTATCGACAGGAACCTAGATCTTGGGGATATAAACCTTGGTATTACATGTACATACTTTGTCAGGCAGTTTCGGTCCAATTTTCACGAAATTCAAACTTAACTATCATCAGGGTGTAAAATCAGATAAAAACTGTGACACCAGCTAAAATTGTAATTTTTTTGTACAATCAGGGGCCATAATCAAGTAGGTCACGGTCCGGTATGCACAAATGTCAAAAGGAACCAAGATCTTTGTGATATAAACACGTTATAAGTTTCATCAAAATCAGATCAAGGTCCACAACCTTGATATTACATGTGATTTTCGTACAATCAGGGACCCTAATCCAGGAAGTCATGGTCTAATATGCACGAATATCAAAAGGAACCAAGTTTTTTGGGATATAAACATATTGTAAGTTTCATTAAAATCGGTAGTCATTATGGTGTAATATTGATACATTTGAACGTTTTTTTTAATTTGTGACCTCTTGAGGGTCCACATGCTAAAAACGTAATTTTTCATACAATCAGAAGACCCTGATGTTTGCCTTATTTTAACTAAAATATAGCCCTTTATAAAACTTTGGTTGTTTTAATGTATCAAATACATCAATAAGTTTTATGAGTTTATAAGTTTGAAAGCCTGAGGATCCTTTGTGAACTCGGGGCCTGGAAGTTAAGGGCCGATACATGCCAATATCGAAAGGAGCCAAGATTTTGGGATATCAACCTATATTTGAAGTTCCGTCAAATCGGATAAAAGTTGTGACCTTTAGAGTGTTTACAAACAAATGTGTCCGGACGAACAGGGGCAACAACAATATACGCCCATATTGTATCAAAAGTAATTGAAATTGAACAGAACGGTGTCGGTGCATGTATATAAAATTTTTACAGATGTTAACTTTGTTTTACAAAGTAACATAATACATACACCACCCAATATGTATCATCCAATTACTACATGTACATGCATGTTACTGTTCAGATAAACAGATAAAGCAACGATATAAAGTACCATTGAAACCATGTACATTAAACTAAATAACTTCATGTACAATAAACTGCCATAATGTGATAACTTTATGTACAATAAACTGCTAAAATGTGTTATTATATGCCCACGTGTCGTCGCCCCAGTATTGTACTGTATGTCAGTTCACATTTTGTTTGTGGACAGTCGACAGGACACAATTTGTATCCGATTTTCATGAAACTTGAAATATAGTTTTATATCCCAAAGATCTCAGTTCCTTTCGATATTGGCATTTAACTTCATGGATTATGGCCCCTGATCACACGGAAAATCTCTTTTTAGCTTGTGGACACTCTAGAGGTCACAATTTTTATCCGATTTTGATAAAACTTGAAATTTATGTTTAAAACCCAAAGATCTCGGTTCCTTTCGATAATGGCGCATAACGGACCGTAAATTTCTAGATTATGGCCCCTGATTTTTCGATCAATCAGGGGCCATAATCTAGAGGCCAAAACTGCTTGACAAAATAATGGCTACGGTGCTCCCCATACTCAAATAGTTTAAAAGTATGTAATACCAAGGATTTGGACCTTCTAGGGGTCTCAATTTTTATCTGATTTCGATTAAATTTAAAATATATGTGTATATCCCAAAGATCTGTATTCCTTTTGATTCCTTGACCATTAATTCCTGGATTATGGCCCCTGGTCTTCTGAAAAATTGCTTTTTTAAAGCTTTTTCTATGTCTATCTTTTATCTTGGATGGCAACTGCTTGTTTTCTCAGTAAATGATTTTATTACTTAGATATTATTGTGCATGGTGGTTATTAAAATTGGTATTTCTGTAGCTAGATATATATTTTTTATTGTACACTGCTGTCATAGATCTCATAAAGAATTCAACATCATTAGATTACACCATCTTGTAACATATATTGTCCTCTTTTATTGTGTAAAAATCCTGTACATATCTGATTAGATGGATAATAAACTACTGTCCATATGATGTTTTTCTTTTACAGCAAATGTGGAATTCAGCAAATCTTTTACGCACATTTTCATAATAAATATTATAGAATCTGCCATAAGTTTTCTAATAGTATTTTGAAAATTGTATTTATTTAGGAGTTACAATTGTCTTCAAATAGATATGTAGCATAGATACTGAATCGACAAATTATAGTATCACCTGTAATCTGTATTATGTTTCAGGGATTTATTCTATAAGCTTATGTTTTTTGTATTTTGATGTGTGTAAATATGACAGTAAATAACAAAAATATCCAATCTCTTCCATTTAGTAATGATGTTATTGCTTAATTGTTTTATTTATAGTTATTAAATAACTTTTTTTTTTTCAATCCTTAAAAGACGTTTCATTGGTGTTGTTGATAAATAATAAAGATGTCTTGTGGTATAATGATTACACAATACAAATCTTCTTTCAAACTGCTCTACAGGAGAATAAATAAAAAAAACCAACAATCCCCTAGAATGTCAATAGAGATGAAAGAAAGGTTGTGATTATGTTCTTGAAGAAATAGGTGTATCACAGATATTGTCCCTGATATTTGTTGTAATGAATTGTATGAAATTGTATTTTTCTTTATCCAATTATTAAAATAATCTTGGGTTTGTTTTAATTGGTCCTAGTGTGTTTTCTTATATTCTATATTTTGTGCTATAGGCTAATACCATACGACTTTAGCTTACTGAAAATAACAGAAAATGTATCGTACGGTACCTTTATTTTACCTGTTCTTTAATAATATTGATATTAGAGAGAGAAATGGGGTTTAACATCCACTTGACACAAACTAGGTCATTTCAGGACTAACATAATGGTAGCCTACAAAATGACAGTGATTGCTCTTCGGCAGTGAAGCAGGACAGGGGGGCCTGGCAAGGGAAAACGGATGGGATGAAAAACCGAGGCCCCATTTACATATTGGTGTGCACATAAAAGACCCCCTGACAGTAGGAACTTAAGATAAGGGAAGACATAGCGCCACTATCCGGGTAAAGTTTCCCTAATAGTACACTGTATAGGGTATGTTCGTCTTCATTTGCCCGGTCGGAGCAGAACCAAATGAAATGAGTTTAATGTCCTACTGTTCTGCTCCGACTGGACTAATGAAGACAAGCTTACACCATTCAGTTATGAGGGACATTTTTCCCGGGCAGCGGCGCTACGGCCTACTCTTATTGTCGAATTCCAATTGCCAAGGGATCTTTGACATGCACGCCAATGTATACACAGAACCTCAGTTTTCCGTCCCATCCGAACAGCTGTCCTTGTCAGGCCCTCCTTCCTGCATCTCTGACAAGGGGAAACTATGGCGGAAAATATTTATGAACTTTCTCGGCCAACTCCGATAGTGACCCGCGTCGTCCACACTAGCAAGCCAGCATCTTACTCACTTAGCCACTGTGGCTCCCGAAGCAGAACAATTGGACATTAAACCCCATTTCATTTCATTTTCCTACTTTTCCGAACCAATCAGACTATCGAAGATAGGCATACGCTATGCAGTGTGATATGACGGAAATTTCCAATGGACTGTGGCATTTCTTCATCGAATTTCAACTGTGAAGGATTCTTTTATGTGCACGCCAATGTGTACACAGGAGGTTGTTTTGGATTTTTTTGTCCTATCTACAATACTAGACACTGTTCTTTGCCAGGCCCTTTGTCCTGCACTACGGGTATGGAGAAAGGATATGGAGAAACCACGCTGCAAGATCCCGGGGAACATAATCATAGTATTGAGAGGAATATGGGCGATAACCCGACACCACGGCAACCCCCGACATCACAACATTTTAACCGACAATACATTTTTACGCGACATTACCACATTTTTAATGTTGTGGTGTCGGGTGAAAATTTCGTATTGTGGGGTTAAAATCTTGTGATGTCGTAGTGTCGGGTTAAAATGTTGTGATGTCGGGCTGAACTGTTGCCTTATGAAGGGCGACACCACAACCTATACAATCAGCCACCATAATTAATGGATCAGACACAGTTACTAAAGTAACTATAAAACTTATTCATCTTTATTGGATTAGATTTTCGAAGAACAGTGCGAAAAGACGGGTGTTGCCGATGATCATTATAGTGTTGGACGTATTTATGGGTGTGCGTAGACAAAGGGAGATAACCATATTATAACTATTATTGACTCTTTAGAAAAAGAGGCAGAAAAACGGTAATCGCGGGAGAAGGAGTGTGTAAACAACAAGATAAAAAAAAAGGCGAACCAAGCACAGCAATTCTTTCATAAATATACTTTTTAAAGAGTAATACTGTGCAACTATAATAATTATGGACACAGCGGAATCGGTATCAAAGGTTGTATATTCAGTTCATTCACTATTGACGATAGTTCAGCCCTGAACGTAGGTCTCATTTACACTCGGCCTACGTTAACTTCAGAAACCGGCCTATTGACTCCTTCCTTGTCGAAAACATTTCAGCTCCCAGTAAATCTTACTTCTGCTAAACAGCTTGGCAGAAGCCATTGAAATCTAATTATAGGGTAACGCACAAATTTACGTATCTCTGTCATATAAGACGAACGAAATTTAGGTAAGCAGGTGAATGAAAATGGAATTTGTGAAAAAATTCGACTGTAATTGGGCTAGGCAAAACAAGAAGTGACTGAAGATTCTCAATGTTTCAAAGATTTCAATTGTTTTCCCACCCACTTACCTAAATGTCATTTTGTCATATATGGCCGAGTTACATAGATTTATGTGTTACCCTATATTTGATTTCCGTGGCGTGTGCATAAATATTCCAATCAACATGTTTAAAAACACATTACAATTTATACAGAATACAGTCACTGGTTAGTTCGACATTTAAATTGTGATGTTGTGGTTTTATTGTGCTCAGTGATAGATAAATGCTACTGATGCTTGTATGTTTATCACAGTTCACCATAGTCCACTTGTCAGGTTTTTAAAGAAAACTACAGATTTTGACAACTACAAATTGCATAAAAATAAACAGTTACGATTCAACTGAAGAATATTACATGGAGATCAAAATTGAACCAAAACTGATCACTATTGTCTAGAGTTACAAAAACTACCGGTATATATATACTAGATAAACATAACAATTTCAACCTTTAAAACCAGTATAATGATCAAAATGAAGCTCACATAGAAGTTAAGGGATGTGCACTATTTATTACATATTCTTTTGTATACTAGTGCCCTCAATCTCACTGGCACCAGAATATAACAATTCCTATCATATTTCTCTTATTAAAGATGGGTTCCCAGAAAAGTATTTATCGGGTGGTTATTTCCAATAAAAATATGGCAATTTTGGTATATATTAAAAGGAGAGATATCCAATCTTACTAGAAAAATACTGGATTCCCCGAAAAACTCTCATGGAGCGTATACAGGACAAAAATGTAAGGGTTCCCCTAATCAACAGCCCGACGATTAAGAACTTCTATCACGCGTGATGTCAAAGGTCCCAAGCGAACATTGAGCACTTGATGTACAATTAGATAAACTTTATGAAGAGTTAAACGTACAATACTTTCTGAGATAAAAATGACAGAAAAAGACGCGGGTAGTGGATAATCCGAGAATTTAATTAGGATTCGATATTTGTAATAAATAGTAAGCGATTAAAGACAACATCGTCTTATGTATGCAATGAATTCCCCTCTGACTCCCAAGACGTGACGTAAACATGACCTGGTTTGATCGAATTTTATTAGCAGGGCATTCCTTCGCAATTACAATGATTGAGAAGGATTTGAAGCATAATTATGACAAATTAATTAATTTTTTGAATATGTTTTTGGTCCATATATACCATTAAATCACCGAGTTTGTACGCGGGAACCCATCTTTAAACATTGGAGTAATTTACTAGAAAATTAAAAGGCTTCATTAACAGTGTTCCAAAAGAAAACTGACATCTAGAGACATTAGCTTACCAACATGAAGTGTCTTCCATTTCACCCAAAGATCTCTTCCTCTGGTCTGTGTTACCTAAGCTTAGGCCTAGTTGCTTACATATCGGGCGACATGACAGTCTCAAAGGACTATTTGTTCAAACTCCCCATAGTTACAATTTCCAAAGCCTTACTTGTGAGTATATATGTTTACTCTGAATAGACACATTGCATAAAACATGCCAAATGTTTCTATTGTATATTTGTGACCACATCTCCAACTTTACCTGAACAATAAGACTCCTTCCAAAACACATAATTGAACCCAGGAAATGTTCTCAAAAACGCAACCTGACTTCTGAGATGGTAATGTGTTTTCCATGATTTTCCAACCCTATAAAATGCACCCCCATACCTAGTTGAATCATTCACACTACAATGTCGGCAGCATTCCACGACTCACGACAGCTCAGAGGAACCAGGAGCTTTGAAGACTCGACGCTGGCCACACTGCCCAAGCCGTTGCCAATCACTTCCAGGTCAATGTGTGGACCATCTACAGGCTTCATCAAAGCTTTCGGGCCACCAACACCACGGATGATCGCCCCCGAACTGGTAGACCAAGGGTTACCATAAGGCGACAAGATAGCCATATTGTGCGACAACTCATGCAGAATCCCTTCACACAGTGGGAACACACAGAAAACCCATCAGTACCGATACAGTGTGCCGACATGTCACCAAAGAACATCCATTGCCGTAGACCTTACCGCGGACCGATCCTCACCCGTCGCCATCGACGTGAATGTCTACAGTTTGCTCAACAACACCAGAACTGGCGACACAGGCAATGGAGAACTGTTCTGTTCACAGATTAGAGTCAGTATTGCGTATCAACTGCAGATGGCAGGACCAGAATATGGCGTCAACGTGGCCATCGTTATTTTGACCAATGTGTCATGGAACAAGACTCGTGGGGCGGTCCAAGCATAATGGTTTGGGGTGGAATCGGCCTGAACCAGAGAGTGGGTCCTTTGGTGTTCCAAAATCTTGGTCCAGGGAGAGGAGGCAGCATCACAGCAGTGCGCTACATTGATCAAGCTCTCAGACCCCACGTCATACCACATTTCGCACGTCATCGAAACAACGTTTACCAGCATGACAATGCCTGTGCCCACACCGCCAGAGTTACTCGGGACTCTACAGTAGAACAGTGTCATCGTTTCGAACTGGCCAGCCCTTAGTCCGGACTTAAACCCTATTGAACATCTTTTGGATGAAATTCAGAGGAGACTTAATAACATTGTACCGTGGCCAAACACAGCCGATGGATTGCACCAGGCTTTTCTGAGAATGTGGTTCAGGTGCCAATCGTGTTCATCAATCGTCTGGTTCACTCCATGTACAGACGCTGCGCTACTGTTATCGACACTCATGGTGGACACACCAGATACTAATGTATAGACTGTGTACAGACTCTAAACCTTCTTGTAATGTCTTGGAATTGTTATGAATTAATCACTAATGTGTCAACATACTGTTCACAAAAAATTGCTTTGAACCATTTAGTAAGTCGTTTTCTAGAATGGTTTGATTAAAGTGCCTCTCTGATTTTGAAATTGTACTGCGTTTTTTTTTTGCTGTTTATTATGTTTGTTGCCCGCCTTTCGAAGAAAGCAGGGGAATATTAAAATGGGTTTGTCCGATGTCTGTCTGTCTGCCCATCACACTTTTTGGGACACAATAACTCTAATTGAGCTAGAATATTCAAACTTGGTGTAGGTGTTTACTAGGTCAATGCCTTGATGGAGTTTAAAGATGAGCAGAGCATTTTCTGCTTAGCAATTTGATTGGTCAAGCCTTTGGAACACAATAACTCTCCTTCTAATTGAGGTAGAATGTTCAAACTTGGTGTTGGCGTTTATTAGTTGAATGCCTTGATGGAGGTCGGTGATAAACGTCGTTTCCTTACGGTAAGCAGAGATAAACAATCTGATTGGTTGATGCTTTGGGGCATGATAACTTTGGTTATAATTAATTGAGAGTGATGAAACTCCGAGTATAGATTCGTCATATTACCTTGACTAAGTTCAATGATGAGAATTTTCTGCTTAGGCTAAGGAGAGATAAGCAATTTGATTGGTCAAGACTTTGGAACATAACAACCCTGCTTTTAATTGAGGTAGAATGTTTAAACTTGATGTACATGTAGATGTTCATTAGGTGAATCATGTTTTGACTGAGTTCAATGATTAACATTTCAAGCTAAAGCTAAGCAGAGCTAAGCAATTTCATTGATCGATGCTTTGGGACAAGATAACTTTGATTCTATCTGATAGAGAGTGATGAAACTTAGTGTATAGTTGATCATCAGTTTGATTGCTTGATACTTTTGAAAAAAATAAATGTACGATTAATTAATATGTGTCATCTTTTCATTTTGGGATTTCGGCGGGGGACATGAGCCTCACTGATGACTTGTTATTTTAGGGATGTTTTGCTTATAAAGGAAAAAAGAGAATAACAAAACCAAGTAAGTAAGCCGCTATAATAAATCGGGTACTTATATCTTTTTTTTAATGTTTGACCTGAGCATGTGGCCAGAGTTTATATTCTTTCCCTGTGATAAAGAAAAGGATTTTTTATACGCCCACATTTTCATGTGAACGTATATTGTCGTCGCCCCTGTCCGTCCGTCCACAATTGTTTGTGAACAGTCTACAGGTCACAATTTTTATCCGATTTTAATGAAACTTGAAATATAGGTTTATCACCCTAAGATCTCAGTTCCTTTCGATATTGGCATGTATCGGACTGTAACTTCATGGATTATGGCCCCTGATTGTACGAAAAATCACATTTTTAGCTTGTGAACACGGTAGAGGTCACAATTTTTATCCGATTTAGTTAAAACTTGAAATGTATGATTATAACCCAAAGATCTCGGTTCCTTTCGATATTCGCGCATATCGGAATGTAACTTCCTGAATTATGGCCCCTGATTGTACGAAAAATCACGTTTTTAGCTTGTGGACTCTATAGAGGTCATAATTTTTATCCGATTTAAAAAAACGTATTATTATATCACCGTTACACCCTAAGGCAGCCCCTTGTTCTCAAATAGCGTAAAAATATGGTATATCAAGGTTGTGGACCCTATAGAGGTCACAATTTTTATCCGATTTTGATGAAACTTGAAATGTAAGTTTATAACCCAAAGATCTCAGTTCCTTTCGATATTCACGCATTCGGACAGTAACTTCCTATATTATTGCCCCTGATTGTACGAAAAATCACTTCCTTTTAGCTTGTTCTCTATCCATCTCTCGAAAATGTGGGCGTATCCTGCCTGGCAGCTGCTGGTTGTTCTTTTGAACAACTAGCTAGACACTTCCTTGCTAGCCTTCCATCCTACATCAAGGGAAGACCAGACCAGGCTGGAAATCCATAAATATGTGTGTGATTAATTACATATTGAGAGAGTGTCTGACAGGCTTTTATTGAAAATACAACCTCAAAAATGTTTCATTATCTGATTATAACTTGATTTGCTATTTTGCCAATAGTGTCCCATCGCTGACTTTTGAGAAAAAGTGTTTCTGTAACACATGTAGTTGTCTTGGTGATAGTAATTATTGTCTTCCAATTGTGTTATATAGGTGATTATTTCCCAGTTAAAGATAATACAGGAAAACAAAGGCATGAAGTTTATCAAGAAATGTGGGAATGTGTTGACACAGAAATTCAGGTAAAAATATTTATCTCTCATTCATGTCAAATTAATCAATTGGGTTATGTTTCTCACCTAAGGTCAATTTTATTGTTTGTATTATTAAATATATGTACATGTTTTAAATGAAATGAAATGAAATGGGGTTTAACGTCCTACTGTTTTGCTCCGAACTGGGCTAATGAAGACGGGGAGATGATTTAACAAAATAAATCCAAAAATTGGTCATCTCTGTCTAAGCCTTCTGAGACCTAAAGTTTGTATTATTTTTCAATCAAATATTTTGGGTTTTTTGGGGCCAAAAATAATAAATTATGTGGGTGGTAACTTTCTTTAGCCTTTCAATAAAACTTGCTTCAAATATAAATATGGAAATTGTGGATTTCTCTCATAAGTTTATAATATCAGTCTGCTGATCTACTGAAATATTTACAGTTCTAACCAGCAGAATTTATTCTATCTGCTACCATCCATAATTTATGTTAATAACTATCTTATTTCAGATTATGCAATCCAATCTAAATAGTAATATATTTGAAGAGTTGCTGAGTTTTGTAGAAAATAGCCATACACAAGGAACAACAATTAGAAATACATCAGTTAAAGAAATTCCAACTGCAGCCCTAATAACAGGTTTATTTTTCATTTATTTAATATTTTGTAAATGAAAATTTGTTTTAATGACAGTTCCAAATTAACTTAAAATTGACATCCAACTGGCCAAAATTTGACATCATTCAGAAATCCACTTGGATTCGGTGATGACCATATACTTTAGATATTGTAGTGCAGTAATCTGTCATTTATGCTTACATTATATGTTGCAATTGTCAGATATGTCAGAAAGATATTTTACACATCTATACCACATGTATTTTATGTAATTATTTTGTGATCTTTTATTCTAGGTGTAAATACTCCAGATCATGCTGTTATGTTTTCTAATATGGTTTCTTTAATGAAAGAAAGAGTAACACCTTTGATTACAACTCTAAGATCTAAAGATTGTCCTGCTTTGAAAAATATGTTGACTAAAGCCATATCACAACTTACTTCAAATCCTGATTTAGTAAGTATGACGAGAGAACAGAAGTCAAATTATATGAAATCTGTTAGGGGATAAAACCTTTTTACTGCCTTTATAATGTGAACAGTCCTTTTCTTACAGAATATCAGTCGGTATTTCGATTGAATTCACCTTCAAAAATAGTTAGTATTTTTTCTGATTTATCTATGCAGTTACATTTGGGTGTTTAAATCGGATTTTATGCAAATTTGAGACAATTTTGCACATCCATCAATGCAATACGGAAGTATTATGATTCATTACCAGTTGAACACCATACATGTATGTACAGTGGACTCTGTCACATCCGACATCGTACGGGATCGTTACAATATTTCGGATCACACAGCGTGTCAGAATACCGAGCTTTCTCCAAAACCGGAAATACTGTAACTTCGAAAACCGGAAGTATTTTTATATTTTAGCTTCGAATCACCAGAATGCTATTCCCTTTAAAAATGATAAACCTTTCTGTACTTTCAAAATTTTATTACATTAAATAATTAACAATAACAATGCATGGGTCAAATCATTTCTTACTGCAGTTTAAATTATTGGCAAACTTCTGTTTAAATTCATCTTTACGCTTTAATATGTCTGACACTGTAGCTCTGCCAATTGAATACTTAATGGCGGTATTTGACATGAGTAACTAAAATCAAATACCAAGCGCACTCTTACAAGAGATTATAAATTGTAAAATAATCAACAAAGAATTTATAACATTATCAAAGTAATCAATACAGACCGGCGCTTGCGAGTTTTAATCTCACCGATAATTGATTGGTGATTGCTTGTTAATCTTTTCTGGCTTCACACCCATTGAGTTTTAATCTCACTGATAATTGGATGCTTCACACCCACCGTTTGAAGTACGGATTATACAGTGTCGATTCAATGGAAATTATGTGATGGAACGACTGATTGATGTCGTAATCCGGAACATACAGAATCCGGATTTACCAGCGATTTGTGGGCTGAAGTAATAAGGAAATAAATCGGGACACATGAAAATCATATCGGATGTCACAGCAATCCGGAGTGATCAGACATCGGATGTGACAGAGTCCACTGTAGTTTTAAAGGTGTTCAGTGGACTCTTGTGTAACATAATTTTCTATAATTAGGCCCGTGTTTGAATTTTTGATAATTAGGTCAGTCAAGGGTTATTTTGAATAGGATATATAAAATAAGTAACATTTATTTTCTTTGTACAAGTGTATGATGCCTGTTTAAAATATGAAAAAGTAATGTGCAGGATTACATCCAATATATTCTCGGAATACATAATGATAGTATTTTGTATATTATTATATTTAACAGGGATTAGATGATGAAGATGATGAGATAATACAGACAGTGGTTAACAAAAAGAATCTACTATGTAATATGTCTACCTTAGTTAACTGGTATAAAGATAAATATATTGTAAGTTTAAAATATGATAATACTAGAATAAATGTCATAAACCATACTCTTATAAGGGGCCTACTGGAGCCAAATGAGGACGAGTAGCTGGAGCTGTGGCAATGTTGGTCTGTCATGAATTATTGAATATCTACAAAATAAATAAACTATAAACATACTAATAGAAAACAGTTACTGTTTTATTTAGGCGATATTTCGAAGCGTATTCTCTCAACGTTTTCAAGCTAATACAATATAACAAAATTTGAAGAAACATATATAGACAAAATTACAATAACAAGGTTGAAACGATATATGTGACCGTCCGCATCTAAATGAGTCGGAATGCGGGAGAATCAATAATGAGATAAAGACAAAATAAGTGAAAATATTGATTTTGAACGAAATTGAGATTTTCACAAAAATGAGTCTATAAATATAAAATATCTAACGACACAGAAGATCAAAATAGCAATAAAACATTTTAAAACACCTGTATTTGAACGTTTTGTAAGAGTACCGTATTCTTAAATCTGTCCTATTTCTTAAAATTCTCGGCGAAATTAGTTATTTTTCTTCGCTCGCAGTGGGACGATCGATCGGTCATTCCTCCTGCATAATAATTGGCATCGTTGTAAAGCGGAGCATCTCTAGTTTATAAATATGATCAAAATATTGTCGATGAATTGATTTTGAACGGATACAATCGAGTTTTAAAACACTCCAAAAATATAAATAAACTCCGCATGTTGCCATGCTGTCAACACAACTCCTTTGCTGATTGGCCCAGACACCGCGTGCAAAACATTATCGATAAATATTTGGTTTTGGCAATGTTTTTGGGCACCTACATGCGATTCACTCAGATAAGTGGCAGAAAAAAAATATTAATTCTGATCGTATAGATTGGCGTTGAGTGTTAATCGAAACCACGTGGCTGATGATGTAAATTAATCGACAAGCGGGTGTGTGTCATTGAGTAATACTATTACTAATCAACTGTCACGGGTCAATGATAAAGTCGTCGACAACTCATTATTTACTCCGAATAATTAATCCAAGTGGTGATTGTTTGATATCTCATATCATCTTTAAAAAAATAATGTATAGGCCTTATATGGAAATAAACAAAATGGCCAATAATGTTCTTTTCGAAGAGAATTTTATTGATAGCTGAATTCCGTTTACCGTCGCTTCTTCATACGGCATGCAAAGTAAGGAATGCATTTGGGATATTATTGTTTAAAATTCTCTTATCACAATGGGTCGAAAAAATGAGAACGAGCTGAAATGCGACAATTTTCGAGTCTGCCATTGAGTATCCTCTGAATAATGTTGATATTTACATCAAAGCCAAAATGCACGAAAGTGAACGTAAGCATTGACTATGAAATTGACATTCCTATAGGGATTCATATTTTGATAACGTCACGGTACCTGAAAATAATAATTGACCTATCGTACACGCAAAATCTTATTTTAATTCACGTGTTAAATGAACACACGTACAGCTGTTGCGGCTTCTTTGATGATTATCCAATCAACAGTCTTAATCTCCTGACCACTAGCTGGCACTAAGGTGCTAATTAATTGATGAGATTAAGATTAAGTTAATCTCACTAAAGTTATATTATACACAACAGACTACTAATGTATAGATTGTTCTTCAGTATAACACTATCATGTGAATATTATGCCGTATGTGTTGTGGATGTTTCGTTACGAAAGGAGTGCATTTATTACGATTTTCGTCTCGTCAGCACCCTTGAAATCCTAAAAAAAAAACATAAAACGACAAAATATAGCAAATAAATTGTGGAAATAGTCGGATCAAATTTTTACTACGATATTCGTCTTCAGCACCCCTGAAAACCCATGGAAAGATATATTCAACGACAAAACAGCAGATAAATGGCCTGGTTGCTATGGGATTTTGTTTTTGAACATACCAAATCTTTGACTTGCTTTTTCTCAAAACTTACTTTTGTGAGTTGGGTAGCTTCTAATGGACACAGCTCAGTCAAATTTTGCCCAATTCAGACAAACTATACATCAAATTGAAGGTAATGAGTTGGAGAATGTGATAATAACAATAACTCAATTTTCAAAATTTCCTCATTGTGACTCAGTATGCTGTGGGGGGTCACATATGGCAACAACAAGATAAAAGGGACTAATTAACTTTCTCAAAGCCACTGAGTAGTGGTGATGTGAACATAATCTAAGTGTTGGTGATAGGGATTATTGGTGTTTACACAATAATATATACACTTTTCTAAAGGACGAACCCTACAAGACATCCTAAAGACGAATGGTAAGCTTCCTCCTAACAAACCACCACCTCCAAAAGACTGTGTTTATGAAATTGCCTGTTCCTGTAATAGTATATACATAGGAGAAACTAGACAGCCCCTGGACAAACGAATCAGTCAACATAAGTCTGAATCCTCTACTACTAACTCAGCTGTAGCCCAACATCTCCAATCTAACCAAGGACATATAATTCAGTCATATAAAACCCTGGCAGTTAATCTCCCCGTAGAAAAGACACGCAACCTAGTTGAGGCGATACATATCAGAAGAAGCACACCAGATCCTAACCGCGACATGGGGACTTGTTTTTAAACTATTTATTTAATATGGTGTGCAGTGCAATAGATGAAAATACCCGCCCAAACCTTTAGAATCACTCAGTAATACTGTAATTATTATCTGGCTTTATCAATACATTGGCCCCTATCCTTAATCGTTTTTATTGTATATATTATTGTGTAAACACCAATAATCCCTATCACTAACACTTAGATTATCTTCACATCACCACTACTCAGTGGCTTTTAGAAAGTTAATTATTCCCTTTTATCTTGTTTTTAAAATCATAACTCCATTGTGTCATAGGCCTCTGATTTTGTTGTTGCCATCTATGGTTTCAACCTTGTTATTGTAATTTTGTCTATATAGTTGCTTCGGTGTGTTCCCACTTAGCCGGCAGACTGTTAATCCTTTGATTGATCTTAAAACTATAGTCTGTTTAAAAATAGTCACTCAAGAACTGTTCACTAGTGTTCAGCGTTAATGAGCTCTTAATCCCTCTTAATAAAATTTATTAACCAACTAATTTATGACATTTTGAACACAGTTCATGCCAGCGTTATGATTTCAAACATGAATTCAATTCACTATATTAATATAAATAGATGGTCGATCTGTGTCGAAATTATATTTATTTTAAAATGGCAAACGTTCAGGTTAATATTCGCTTTATCTCCAATAATCGAGGTGGCCGATATTTAATACACAATGGTTACAAGTTCAGTATAAAGTCAAGCAGATCAAATGCCGTCCATTTTGATAGAACAGGGCCCCGTACTACCAACCACATAAAAGGTTGGCATTCTAAGTTGAATAAAATGACAGCATGCCATCCTAATATTTACAAGTTCATTAACTTAATAAAACAAGAACAATCCTATGTCGAAATCACCATTTCACAGATATTATTTGGTGGTACCAAAAGGCCTCGAGTTAAGAAATATCGACAACTTGATACAAGAATTGAACATTTGAAAACACAGCTATTAAATGGCTCTTTAAGTGTAAATCGGTATGGAACAAATATTTCCTATTTAGTGGGGCTGTAAAATGATTGTTATGTTGTAAGGCATTTATTTATAAATTATATAATGCTATTTAATAAAAGTTAAATGTGTAAATTGTAATGCATTTTTATATGTGTAAATCATTTAATGTTATTTAATAAATATTAAATTTGTTAAAATCAATATATTTTTATATGTGTATGCTATTTAATGTTATTTAATAAAAGTTAAATTTGTTAAAATCAATACAGTTTTAGTCTTAAAAAAGATATGGACTATAGTTTATAACACCATTGTTCTAGGATTAACTCTTTATTAGCGGCAAAATTTGACATCAAAGCCTGCCGGCTAAGTGGGAACACCCTGTTGCTTCAAATTTTGTTATATATGTATTGTATTAGCTTGAAAACGTTGAGAGAATACGCTTCGATATATCGCCTAAATAACTGTAACTGTTTTCCATTAGTATGTTTATAGTTTATTTATCTGCACAGTTACTAAATGCCACTTACAGAATATCTACAAAATAATTTCTAGTGTATGCTGTGCTAAATCTCATAATGGGCAATATGATTTCTTTATAATGTAATGATTTCAGAATCAAAAACCATCATCTCCGAAAAAACGGAGATCGAAGAGTGGATTGGCCGAAGATATAGATTATCATCCACCATTAGTTATAGTATTAGAAGATATGGAAAGTTTTTCACCTCATATATTACAAGATTTTATTACAATCTGCAGGTCAGTTCTTCTGTAAAAATCCTGAAAATAAAGATTAAAGAACCAAATACAGAACCGGATAAAAATGTTTGCTCTATGACAAAATTCTGTCAATAATACCTCATCAACTCCTGAATATAAATAAATTGTTTAAAGTAGTTGAAGTTAGAATTTTATCTATTTATTGATGGATCTCATAAAGGATATGATTCATTTCATTTTGTAACTTTTTCAGTAATTATATAGAAGAACTTCCATTAGTACTTGTATTTGGTATTGCTACATCTGTATCTGCTGTACATAGATTACTACCTAACTCGGCATCATCTTTATTATGTATGGATAAATTCCAAGCTCCTCCCTCTTCTGACTATCTCACACAAGTTATAAATAAAGTAAGGAATTGTTACTCTGTAAATGTCATTAAAAGTGTTAAATGAAGTAGTATGTGAGTATTGTGAGATTTAGAGAAAGGGCTGGCCTTTCTTGCTAGGATAGAAAAATAGAATATATTGACAATATCAGTCTAAAGTCTAAATACTTTTATTATGAGCAAGGTTTCAGAGAGCGAATTAAATTTGTATTACCATACTTTTTCTTCACATAACAGTTTTAAAATTGAAAGCTGTGTGTAACTGTATTGTCAAAACTTTTATTGACAGTCTTGGAAAATTTTGTCTTGGTCAGCCATATTAGCGTTTAACTCAGATCTGTTATGCATTGTCATAGCCACTCGGTATCTAAGACATCTGATGGTCTAAAGAGTTGATTATGGGCTTGTCATATGAATGTGTGAATGTCTAAATAATGATTTATATAACATTTGAAGGCAAGAAAAACAACCTGCATAATTCCTCTTTAGTGAAAATGTTTGAAAGCTAGTGATATTATCATTTTTTTTTTGTTTTCAGGTTTTGTTTACTTCAACACATCCATTTAAACTTGGGCCAAAAGTCTTTCATCTTCTTCTAGATTTATTTTTATACCATGATTTTTCTGTTATTAATTTTGTTAAAGGACTTCAGGTAAGGTATTTTTCATCTTCACAATGTCATGGTATTGCAATTGTGTTTGAAGCTTTGTCATACACATAGGTGGCAAAAATATTTCATAATGATTTGAGATATATCAGACTTTAAGAAAGGGTTGTCAATAACCTCATTTGCACATAAATTGAACAGAATTCTGAAAAAAGTTCCTCAGGAATTTACTGCCTGGCATTCAGTTGTGCAGCTTGGCAAGAAAAAATGTTTGGTTGTTTGAATGGGAAGAAAATGAGGTTCTGTATAGTGTGTACGGGCAAATAATTACTAAATAGCTGTAAAGCTGCTGAGTCAAAAGCTCGTTCAGGCGGATAAAGTAGATGATTCAATATATTTGCATATTTAGTAAAGTTTTTTCCAAAATTAAAATTTCTGAAAACCCTGATTGTTCGACTTGTTTTCTTTCAAGATAAGTCTTTGTTGTCATAACCATAAAACCTGAAAAATTTCTATGAAACTGTTTTTCTCTTTTTATAGTTTTGTATGTTAGATCACTATTATAGTAATTCATTAGCTCATCTATGTTGTCAAGAGACAGATGTAACTGCTACAGTTAAGAAATTACATGAATCGGATCTAGATAAACTTAGACAAATACCAACATTTAATAGGTATGATTGCTGATAATTGTATTTATGACCATTTGTTTCAGTTTATGATTAAAATTTTGAACAATATTACATTTTTCCAGAAATAAATACATAGAAGTTATTTAAATTTTAATAATATACATTTATATAGAATTTATTAAATTACAGATATATGAATGAATGTTCATCAGAAGAAAAGACAAAACTTATACAAGACAGTAAATTTACAAAGGTAAATCTACAAGTTCTATTACAAGTTTCATATTATTGCATATGGCAAGATATTAAAATCCCCTCTAAACAGAAGTATATTTAATAAAGAGTCTTAAGGTTGAGAATGTTCTTATTGTAGGTTTTTTGTGTGTTTTAACTTCAGTTAAGAGTGACAGAACTATTACAACAACTACATGATTATCATAAAGCTTTCTTCCCTGTATTAAATCTTCTACATACATTATCTTGTAAATTACCTAAACATCCATTAGGTAAACAGGTAAAATATATTTATATTCTCAGTCTAATAATTCTCATTCTTGTGTTTGCAAAAATGAAATTTACTAAAAACATGTTTTGATAATGTGGTATAATATATTTCAATGACAAGACAACTATTGCTAACATTATATTTCGTTTTTATACGCCCACATGGAAATGTGGTTGTATATTGCCGTCATCCCCATCCGTCTGTCTGTCGGTCCGTCCGTCCGTCCGTCTTGTGAACACTCTACAGACTACATTTATCATCTGATTTTTTTTAAATTGATATATGTTGTTTGCATTAGTGAGATGAAGAAGCCCATTTAATTTCAATAACTTCTGTTAATTTCTTCTGGAGTTATGGCCCTTGTTTCACTTTGTTGCACCTTGTAAACGCTCTAACCACAAAAGTTATCAACCGATCTGTATGAAATTTGTATGCATCATTTAAATTAGTAAAACAAAGAAGCCTATTGAATTTCAGCAATTTTCGTTAATTACATCTAGAGTTATGGCCCTTGTTTCACTTTGTTGAATGTTGTGAACGCTCTAATGACAACGGTTATCATCCAATATATAAGTATTGTATTCATGCCTTTGAAGTCATGTCAATATCATGCATATTCTAATACATTTTAGTTACGAGAACTGTATTCAATCTGTATAGAATGCACTTTGGTTGAAAGTGACGTATACAAAGAAGCTTGTGATTTATTAAGGTAAGTCACCTACTAAAGACTTGAAGAGACATTGGTATTAAAACGAAAAGATATAACATTTAGAAAAGCTGGATATTGAGTTTGAAGTTATCATCTTAAACATTGTATTTAGATGACTTATTTCTGTACCCAAATTTTAGATTTCTAATCACTTTTTGTTGACATCGGTCAAGACAGGTTGTTTTGTTGAGTTTTTTTTTTTACCAAAAAACCAAATGTATGTAGTGTTAATGATATCATCTGATGTTAATGTCTAATTATTGTAGATTATTATCTAAAGAAGAGTTAATTGGTCTCATTAGAGAGGGTATATCTTTATTAACTGAAGAAATATTACCACATGAATTAGATATGTTACCAGCACAATTAGAAAGTATACTAACTAGGTTTAATGATTTAGATGGTAAGTTAAGTTCTTAGTGTGAAGCAAGAATTGTTAATTGTATGGTTAAAATTTTACCAGTATAACATTCTGTTTGTACAACAATGAAAGAGAAAAATTCCCATAACATACATACAGATTAGGAACTTTTGATATTTGTGCATATTGGACTGTAACTTCCTAGATTATGGCCCCTGATTGTACGAAAAATTGCGTTTTAAGTTTGTGGTCCCTCTAGAGGTCACAATTTTTATCCGATTTAAAAAAACGTTCAAATATATTCCTATTACACCCTAATGATGGCTGAGTTCAAATTTTGTGAAAATTATATCATCCATTTTAGCGGGGAAAAAATGAAAGCCAGTGTGAGCCCTGCAACCACCCAAAGATACATACAGACAGATACTCTATTTCACTTTCGAATATTTTAAACAACAGTGATTCAACCTCAACTTTCAATGCAGCAATTCATACAGAATGTAGTACACTTTGGCCCATTCATTCATTGATGGAGTGACTTGTTTGGTTAATACTGATGATTTGGTTTCTCTAAAGGTGTTTGGGTGATTAGATCGCAAATGATGCCAAAGGTTTGACGTATTTCCGCCAGGCGTTTTAATTTCCTTCAAACACACTTTACATGTGTGTTTTTCACACCACAGAAGATGTGTTCTTTTTCGGTGTCGGCATCTGTGTTGTCGAACTATCATCATCGGAAACATTGGCATTTTTGATCTATGATGCCCCAGAAGCCATTTTATTCAAAATAGAAAAGATCTTGTTCGGATCTATTGGCATTTGTTGAAATTTGACTTTTTTCTCCATTATTCGAATATTTTGAAAAATTGAAATATCGCGATATTTTTAAAAATTATCGCGATAAGGCGATATTTGAGATTTCAGAAGATGCCTAATTATCGCGATATATCGCAATCCCCGGGGTATCGCAGCAACCTTAACGTATATTGTCGTCGCCCCCGTCTGGATGTCTGTCCATCCACAATTTGTTTGTGGACTCTCTGCAGGTCACAATTCTTATCCGATTTTGACAAAGCTTGAAATATAGGTTTATCTCCAAAAGGTCTTGGTTCTTTTTGACACTGGCATGTATCGGATTGATATTTCATGGTTTATGGTCACAATTTTCATCTGTTTTTGATGAAACTTGAAATGCATGTTTATAACATGAATTATGGCCTTTGATTGTACGAAAAATCACGTTTTTAGCTTGTGATCCTTAGAGGTCACAATTTTTATCTGATTTAAAAAAAAAACATTTGAATACATCACCATTACACCCTAATGATGCTCGAGTTCGAAATTAGTGATAATCAGACCAAAACTACTGGACAAAATGGCCACTCCTGTACGCAAATAGTGTAAAAGTGTGTAATTCCAAGGTTGTGGAATTTGCGTGAGTAAATTTAACCACTCTCCATACTTGTGAAAGGTTAATTTTGTGTGAGTGCTTAATTTTCTTCGTGGCAAGCCCTGGTATTCTTCCATGGAAACAGGTTTCCATACACATTTGTAGTTGTTTAAGATGTGTACAAAATAAATTGAATATCTCCTTATCAAGTTCTAAAGCTATTGCTGGATTGTACAGTAAGGTTAAATGCAGTGGTTCCTTTGGATCTGACTAAATAAAAGGTTTTGATACACCACCCAACCTTAAAGTTATGAATGAAAAATTACTTTTGATGTTTTTATGCCAAGTCGCTCCTAATGTCTCTGCAATGTCCATATCCAGATATTAGTCCATATTCGTGTCTGTTCAGCTTTGTTTTGGATCAATCTAATTATGTACATGTATTTATAATTAGCTGAAACAGAACACATACCTGAAGAAGATGCCGAAGAAGAATCAAAGGATGCTGTGGCATTACCTAAAAAAACAGATCTACATAATTTGCGGAAGGTAAATCTAGACAATTTTTACATTGTTGGGCTTAAATTGACATTTTTATACGCCCACATGGAAATATCAATTTACATTAGTGAGATGAAGAAGCCAGTTGAATTTCAGCAATTTCCGTTAGTTACTTCTAGAGTTAAGGCCCTTGTTCCACTGTGTTGCACCTTGTGAATGCTCTAACATCAAAAGTTATCTGCTGATCTGTATGAAATTGATATGTGTCATTTAAATTAGTAAAAAGAAGAAATTTATTGAATTTCAGCAATTTCCGTCTATTACTTCGAGAGTTATGGCCCTTGTTTTACTTGTTGAATCTTGTGAACGCTCTAATGCAAAAAGTTAACATCCGATCTTTGTGAAATTTATATGCAATATTTAAATTAGGGAAACGAAGAAGAAGCCTATTGAATTTCAGCAATTTCCTTTATTACTTCTAGACTTATGGCCCTTGTTTTACTTTGTTGAACCTTGTGGACACTCTAATGCCTAAAGTTATCAGACGATCTGTATGAAATTTATATGCATCATTTAGATTAGTGAAACCATGAACCCTATTGAATTTCAGCAATTTACAATAATTACTTCTCGAGTTATGACCCTTGTTTTACTTTGTTCAACCATGTTAACGCTTGATTGATGTCAGTTAATATCAGATATGTATGAAATTTATATCCATCATTTAAATCTGTTGAATTTCAGCAATTTCTGTCAGTTTTTTCTAGAGTTATGGCCCTTGTTTTACTATGTGAACCTTGTGAACATTCGAAAGACAAAAGTTATCATCCGATTTGTATGAAATTTATATCAGATTTCATAATTTTCTGTAAATTACTTCTAGAGTTATGTTAAGACCCTGGTTTCAGTTTGTAGAACCTTGTGAACCCTCAAACGACAAAAATTATTTTCCGATCTATATGAAATTTTATTGTAAATGCCCCCAATTGCCCCCAAATGCCGATTTAGCTGCTGTGGGCTTATGTTTCGTTGCCTAGCAACCTATCTTTTTACCGTGTCTAAAATTGGGTTTTTATATGCCCACATTGAAACTCTTCTCTTTAAACACTTTGAAGATTGCCAACTACACAACATCAACAGCAAAAAGTTGTGTTCCAGTGAAGAAAAAGAAGAAAAATCGCAGATTCAAGAAAATAAAAGACAAAGAACATGTTTCCCAAAATTTCATCTACAATGTAAGTTCTAGACAGTTAGAACCTGCTGAAGTGAAACTTTTAAATAGAGGACTATCATTCTGTCCAGTACCACGTTAATATGACCAAATTAGAGAACTTCATGACTTAAGAGCATTTCATCGACGACTAAGACTTTCCGAGTTCTTTTTTGAAAAACCATCACAGCAAATCTTACCTAAATCACTGTATATCAAGAGTGAATGGTCACCACCTTGTGGAAGGGATGAAGCTCTGGAACTCCACTGTACCAACCAGTACCAAACAATAAAAAACTACTCAGAAAATAAAGTATGAGATAATTTAACTCGCGAAGAGAGGAAAGCCTTATCAAGTTTGAAGCATGACCCTAATATTATCATTGGTAAAACTGATAAAGGAGGTGGTATTGTCATCTGGAATAAAGAAGACTATGTTAAAGAATGTATGAAACATCTAGAAGATAACTCTGTGTATGAGAAAGTTAGTGGAGACAATTCAAGCAAGATTCATGGACAATTGACAAAATTAGTGACAGGCCTTAAAATTCCGGAAAATGAACGGAAAGCTATCTTGGACAGACCTGTTGATAAACCAGCCCATTTCTACATTTTAGGAAAAGTTCATAAAGTTCCCAATCCTACTGATATACCACCAGGAAGACCCATATGTAGCCAAGTTACAGCACCTACTCTTAAAGCTTCTTCTTGGCTTGACTAGAAATTACAACCAGTGGCACAGCTGTACTGCCCTGAATTAGTTAAAGACACCACTCAATTCCTTCAAAAGATAGAAGCTATAAACAGAAAATTTATTCCTAAGAATGGTAAGCTTATGACTCTTGATGTTATCAGTTTATATGCGAATATTGTTATTTCTGAAGGTTTAGAAGCACTGAAACATGCATTACGTGAAACTAAAATTGTGACTAATGAAGATTCAAATCAATTCTACAAATAGCAGATTTTGTTCTTCACAACAATGAATTTGAATGTTCTGGTATATTTTATAGACAGATATCGGGGACTGCCATGGCAACTCCGTTTGCTGACATATGCTAACATTTATATCTCATACTGGATGAAAACCTACTATGAACCATTACCTAATAAAACAGATATTTCATGCAGATTTGGGCTTTATCTTCTCTCCCACTAGAAGAATGTAATAATTTTGTTTCAAAATTAAACCAACAACATCCAAAGATCAAATTTACTGTAGATATAAATAGTAACTCAGTTAATTTCCTAGATGTAAAAGTTGTCAAAGAAAAAGAAAAGTTAGAGACAAATCTATATTCCAAGAGAACAGATTGCCATCATTATCTTCCTCCATCAAGTTGTCATCCCAAACACACCTTTAACGCTATCCCTTACAGTGGTGCTCTACGTATAAAACGGATTTGTAGTAAAGATAGCTGGACCAAATCAAACCTAGAAAATTTTGGATCCTATCTTAAACAATCCGGATATCCCAAGAAAATTATTCTAAAGGCATTTAAACGCGCAGATCAGAAGACCAGGACTGAATTACTGACCTACCAATCCAAGACTGATACTAATGTGAACATTATTCCATGGACAACTACCTTTGACCCTAGACAACCTCACCTTCACCAAATGATTAAAGACCGAAGTATTTTAGACACAAGTTCACGTATGACGAAAATTATGAATAGCAGCAAAATAATAATAGCAGAGAGGAAGAACTACACTATTGGCAATATCTTGAAAGAAAATAAGTTGAGAACTTCTGACACTAGTAATAAGCATATTAAGGACAAAATTTCATACGGATGTCAACCTTGTTTACGAAAATTATGCAAATCATGCGAGACTATGTGTAATAATCAAGAAGTAACCAGTAAAGACATGAAATCATTCAAGATTAGAGACTCTGTCAACTGTGCCAGTTCTTATGTTGTATATTGTTTAACATGTAAAACCTGTAGTATGCAATATAGAGGCCAAACCATTACTCCTTTCAGCACTCGACTTAATAAGCACAGAAGTAATATAAAGCTTAAAAAACCTGGCCATTCCCCCCATGTAGCCTCCCATTTTAATATACCGGGTCATGATTTCGTGTGTACCATAGTACAAAAAATTCCTGATAAAGATCAGAAAAAATTGAACACAGCAGAAAGTCTGTGGATTCATAGACTTGATTCAGTTTGGCCTAACGGTTTAAATGAGTTAAATCCAGGGGGTTTCAAAATCATTCATAATCATGCATAAGTTTTCCTTACTTGTAAAATTTTACCTAAGTTTTAGTTAAGCTAACCTTTCACGTTATGTATCTAAGTCTATGACGTCATCACTCCCACGATGTCATAACTTCCTATGATGTCATAACTGACTTCCAGTCATTTTGAATTTAGTTCTTCATCCCTGAAGAAGTTATCTGAATATCAAATGCATCATTTTGACTTAGTCAAAATTGATCCCATCAAACAGTCTGTATTTGGTTTGTGTTTCCTGTTTCTACTGATTGGAAGTTTCACATTGAAATGTGGACGTATATTGCCGTTGCTCCCGTCCGTCCATCCGTTCACAATTTCTTGTGAACGCTCTAACGCCCAAAGTTATCATCCAGTTGTTTTAAAATTGATATATGTTGTTTACACCAGTAAGATGAAGAATCCTATTTAATTTCAATAATTTCCGTTTATTACGTCTAGAGTTATGCCCCTTGTTTCACTTTGTTGAACCTTGTGAACGCTCTAATGCCAAAAGTTAACATACAATCTTTGTGAAATTTATATGCAATATTTGAGTTAGTGAAAATAAGAAGCCTATTGAATTTCAACAATTTCTGTTTATTACGTCTAGAGTTATGGGCCTTGTTTCACTTTATTGAACCTTGTGAACGCTGTAACTCCAAACGTTATCATCCGATCTTTCTGAAATTTACATGCATTATTTAAATTAGTGAAACGAAGAAGCCTATTGAATTTCAGCAATTTCCGTTTATTACGTCCTTATGGCCCTTGTTTCACTTTATTGAACCTTGTGAACGCTCCAACGTCAAAAGTTATCATTATATGCATTATTTAGATTAGTGATACGGAGAAGCCTATTGAATTTCAGCAATTTCCGTTTATTACGTCTAGAGTTATGGCCCTTGTTTCACTTTATTGATCCTTGTGAACGCTCTAACGCAAAAAGTTATCACCTGATCTTTGTGAAATTTATATGCATGATTTAAATTAGTGAAACGAAAAAGCCTATTGAATTTCAGCAATTTACAATGATTACTTCTAGAGTTATTGCCCTTGTTTCCCTTTGTTTAACCTTGTTAATGCTCGATTGATGATAGTTATCATCCGATATGTATGAAATTTATATGCATCATTTAAATTTGTGACACAGGTCTATTGAATTTCAGCAATTTCCGTCAATAATTTCTAGATTTATGGCGATTGTGAACTTTTGAATGACAAAAGTGGTCATGTGATCTGTATGAAATTTATATGGATTATTTAAATTAGTAAAACAAAAAAGCCTGTCAAATTTCAACAATTTCTGTAGATTACTTCCAGAGTTGAGACCCTTGTTTCAGTTTGTAGAACCTTGTAAACCCTCCAACGACAAAATGTATAATCTGATCTGTATGGATCTGTCTTGTAAAGGCCCCCAATTACCTACAAAGGAATAAATAGGCGACAACCCTTGATGACCGCTCAGATGATTTAGCTGCTGTGGGCGTATGTTTTGTTGTCTGGCAACCTATCTTTATTGTTGTCACCACTGTCCATCCATTCATCAGTTTTCCATTTATAATTTGCAAGTACTAGCAAACAGTAAGAAGTGTCTTACAGAATTTTATTAATATGTCATAAATATTTAATATTAAAAATTTCAATAAAAATTAACAGTTGTAGCCCTTCTAAAAAAAACAAATTTTGCTCCATTTGAGCTTGAGAGTCAATTGGTTGTTTAAAGATACCTTCCCGCTTACAAACTGGGTGATTTGATGATACATTTGGACTAAAAACATATTCAAACTAATTAATCTATCAAAAATTTTCTTCAAATCCTTCTCAAAACATTGTATTCGCGAGGAAATACTCCAAGCTATAACACATCTATTAAAAGAAGCCATGTTTGGGTCACGTGACTTCGCTGACGCGGTACCTAGCAACAAGTGAGAGTTGGGAGGAGAATTCATTGCATATAAAAGACAGTGTTGTCATTAATCGCTATCCATTTATCATAAATGTTGAAACCTAATTAAATTCTCAGATCAATCTGGTTAAAACACAGATCCTATGTCGTTTCGTTTTTATAGTTCAAAATTTCGTTTTACTTGTCTTTACTACATTTGGATCTGGAAGAGTTGTTATTTAACTCGTGTTCTGAATGGTGTCAGGGATAAGCCAATGAAACGGTCTGTTACGATGCGCTTTAGGCGTGTTTTTCACTGAACTGTGGTTAATCCACTAGTAACATCAATGCTGATTGGTTAATCAAATGTCTGACGTCATAGGGTCATAAGTCGGTCTTTTGACCCCTGACGTGACCTATCGCTATAACTTGTCAGATCTTCATGTAGTAAAGGCCATCGAAAGTATAAAAAAACGAAACGAAAAATATAGATCTGTATTTTAATCAGATTGTTCTCAGATTATCCACTGCTCACATTTTTTTCTGTGGTTTTTATCTCAAAAACTGCTGTATGTTTAAGCCTCTCACTTTTTTCTAGTTTGCCCACAATGAAGTTTTTCAACATGTACATCAAGCACTCCCTAATGCTGTGAGATCAGACAATCTTCGCGCACAACCTTTAACGTCACTCGAGCAGACATCCCTAATCATCGATTGCCGGATAGGGAACACTTTACATTTTTGTCTTGTATGTGCTCCATGGGTGTTTTTCAGGGAATCCAGTATTTTTATATGCCCAAATTTCATGAAAATCGGACCAAAACTGGCAGACAAAATGGCCGCCCCTCATACTCAGATAGAGTAAAAATATGATATATCACGGTTGTGGACCCTCTAGAGGTCACAATTTTGATCCGATTTTAATAAAACTTGAAATACATGTTTATAACCCAAAGATCTTAGTTTCTGTCAATTTTCGTGCATATCGGGTCGTAACTTACCGAATTATGGGCCTTGATTGTACGAAAATTCACGTTTTTAGCTTGTGGTCCCTCTAGAGGTAACAATCTTTATCCGGTTTAAAAAATTATTTGAATATATCACCATTACACCCTAATGTTGGTTGAGGTTGAATTTCGTGAAAACTGGACCAAAACTGACACCAAAATGATTGCCCCTTGTACGCAAATAGGGTAAATATATGGTATATCAAGGTTGTGAATCCTCTAGAGGTCACAATTTTGATCCAATTTTGATGAAACTTCAACTTTATGTTTATACCACAAAGGTCTTGGTTCCTTTCCATAATCGCGCATATCCAAATGTAACTTCCTGGATTATGGCCCCCTGATTGTTTGAAAAATCACATTTTTAGCTTGTGGACCCGCTAGAAGTCACAATTTGTATTCAATTTTAGAAAAGTTTAAATATTCACCGTTAAACATAAATGAAGGGTGAGTTCAAATTTTGTAAAAAACTGCCCGACAAAATGGCCGCTCCGTCGTCCGGCGTCCACAATTGCATGTGGATGCTCCAGAGACTAAAGTTAATATCTGATTGACTTTAAATTTATACACAGTGTTTAAGGTCATGAAACGAAGAAGTCTATTGATTATCACCGGGCGAATGTTTCGTTGCCTGGCAATCTAACTTTTTTAAAACTTGTTCTCTATCTATCTCTTGCAAAATGTGGGCGTATCTTGCCTGGCAATCACTGGTTCTAGTAAGAATGGATGTTTCTACTTTCCATATATATCAAAATTGTCATACTTTTATTGGAAATAACCACCCGATAAATACTTTTGTGGGAAAGTAAGCAGTATGTTTAGCCTGTACAAATACAAACTGCCATTGTGACTACCCTTGTGAACCTGTTATGTTAGAATCCAAAATATTGACTAGGAAAGCATGGAATTATAAATAAAATTATGAGTATTTCTGAAAAAAAAGAAAGTTTAAAGTTGTTCTTATTTCAGACATTACAAGAACTGGAGAAAAAGAAAAAGAGATTATCACCTTACGCAAAATTGCGGGAAGAATCAGTAAATGAACTAGATCATATATTCAGGTAAGTCAGTAATAATAGAATGACCAGCATTTAAAGAGCATTCTTTTATAAATTAACAGAACACAATTTTTATGGGAAACAATCACTGGTTTTTATACGCCCACATTGGAAATGTGGTCGTATATTGCCGTCGCCCCCGTTCATACGTCCGTCTGTCATCCACAATTTCTTGTTTTGAAATTGATTTGTTAACATTAGTGAGATGAAGAAGCCTTTTTAATTTCAATAATTTTCGTTAATTTCTTCTGGAGTTATGGGCCTTGTTTCACTTTGGTGAACCTTGTGAACGCTCTAACGACAAAAGTATCATCCGATCTGTATGGAATTTATATGCATCATTTAAATTAGTGACACGAAGAAGCCTATTGAATTTCAGCAATTTCTGTTAATTTCATCTGGAGTTATGGGCCTTGTTTCACTTTGTTGAACCATGTGAACGCTCTAACGACAAAAGTTATCATCTGATCTGTATGGAATTTATATGCATCATTTAAATTAGTGACACGAAGAATCTTATGGAATTTCAGCAATTTCCGTTAATTTCGTATGGAGTTATGGGCCTTGTTTCACTTTGTTGAACCTTATGGACGCTCTAACAACAAAAGTTATCATCTGATCTGTATGGAATTTATATCCATCATTTAAATTAGTGAAACGAAGAAGCCTATTGAATTTCAGCAATTTTCGTTAAGTAGGTCTACAGTTATGGCCCTTGTTAGGGTTTCACACTGTGTGCTTGTGTGAAACACTATTGTTTTTGTTCGGATTATTATTCTTATTATATTTTTTTTTTTTTTTTTTTCCATTTTATACGCCCACATTTTAATGTGGTTAAAAACAAAGTCATGGGTATCACAAAACCATCTTTTTGTTTTTGACCACTCCTACTACTGGTGTCACCGTATCAAGTTTATTATGACTTCAATCCCATCTAAGTTTATGTTATTCAAATGGTTTTGGATTCCTCTCTCTTTATATATTTGGATTCACATTTTAATGTGGACGTATATTGTCGTCGCCCCTGTCCGTTCGTCCACAATTTGTTTGTGGACACTCTACAGGTCACAATTCTTACCCAATTTTGACGAAACTTGAAATATAGGTTTATCTCCAAAAGATCTTGGCTGCTTTCGATATTGGCATCTATTGGATCGAAACTTCATGGATTATGGCCCCTGTTTGTACGAAAAATCACGTTTTTAGCTTGTGGACACTATAGAGGTCACAATTTTTATCTGATTTTGTTGAAATTTGAAATGTAAGTTGATAACCCAAAGATCTCGGTTCCTTTCGATATTCTCGCATATCGGACCGTAACTTCCTGATTTATGGCCCCTGATTGTACGAAAAATCACGTTTTTAGCTTGTGGACCCTATAGAGGTCATAATCTTTATCTGATTTAAAAAAAACATATTATTATATCACCGTTACACCCTAAGGATGGCTGAATTCGAATTTCGTGAAAATCGGCCCAAAATTGACAGATAAAATGGCCACCGTTCGTTCTCAAATAGCGTAAAAATATGGTATATCAAGGTTGTGGACGCTATAGAAGTCACAATTTTTATCCAATTTTGTTGAAACTTGAAATGTAAGTTGATAACCCAAAGATCTCGGTTCCTTTTGATATTCGCGCATATCGGACCCTAACTTCCTGAATTATGGCCCCTGATTGTACGAAAAATAGCGTTTTTAGCTTGTGGACCCTATAGAGGTCATAATTTTTATCCGATTTAAAAAATCGTATTATTATATCACTGTTACACCCTAAGGATGGCTGAGTTCGAATTTCATGAAAATTGGCCCAAAATTGAAAGACAAAATGGCCGCCATTCGTTCTCAAATAGAATAAAATATGGTATATCAAGGTTGTGGACCCTATAGAGGTCACAATTTTTATCCGATTTTGTTGAAACTTGAAATGTAAGTTTATAACCCAAAGTTCGTGCATATCGGACCGTAACCTCCTGAATTATGGCCCCTGATTGTATGAAAAATCGCGTTTTTAGCTTGTAGACCCTATAGAGGTCATAATTTTTATCTGATTTAAAAAAACGTATTATTATATCACTTTTACACCCTAAGGACGGTTGAGTTCGAAGTTAGTGAAAATCAACCCAAAACTGACAGACAAAATGGCTGCCCTTCGTTCTCAAATAGCGTAAAAATATGGTATATCAAGGTTGTGGACCCTATAGAGGTCACAATTTTAATCCGATTTTGTTGAAACATGAAATGTAAGTTTATAACCCAAAGATCTTGGTTCCTTTCGATATTCGCGCATATCGGACCGTAACTTTCTGAATTATGGCCCCTGATTGTACGAAAAATCGCATTTTTAGCTTGTGGACCCTATAGAGGTCATAATTTTTATCCGATTTAAAAAAACATATTATTATATCACCGTTACACCCTAAGGACGGCTGAGTTCGAATTTCGTGAAAATCGGCCCAAAATTGACAGACAAAATGGCTGCTGTTCGTTCTCAAATAGCGTAAAAATATGGTATATCAAGGTTGTGGACCCTATAGAGGTCACAATTTTTATCCGATTTTCTTGAAACTTAAAATGTAAGTTTATAACCCAATGATCTTGGTTCCTTTCGATATTTGCGCGTATCGAATTGTAATTTCCTGAATTATGGCCCTTGATTGTAGGAAAAATCACTTTCTTTTTAACTTGTTCTCTATCAATCTCTCGAAAATGTGGGCGTATCCTGCCTGGCAGCTGCTGGTCATTCTGACCGGAAGTAATGTCATTTTAGCAAAAACTGTATTTTTAGCCTTCAAAACAAATATTTTTTTGAAGTGAGTTATATTTAGTATTCGTTTAACATTATGATATTTCATTCCCATGGAAATATAGATTAGATCAATACGATCATAAAAATGTCAAAAAATAGCTTCTAGCATCTTCCCTTGCCAAAAAATAACCAATTTCGTCAGGATCACTTTTTAATATTTTTGCATTTTAATTTAAGTTTATGTTTTTCAAGTTAATTATTAATTGCCTGAGTTGTATAAAACAAAAGCTCAGATACTCCTTGGTGCAAATTTTCAACTTGTTTCTACCAATAAAGTTTTCTGTCGTGAGGTCTTTTCAAAAGCAAATATTAATTTCTACAAATCTTATCGATGAAGATGAATGCTCCTACTACAGGCGCAAAATATGTCGGGCTTAGTTGTTTGTTTTTTTTATTTGTTTTTTTTATTTGCGCCATTTTGATTTAAGGGTGGCACCGGTGAAACCCATCATTACTGCATCGCAGTTCTAGTTTCACTTTGTTATTGTCCTTGTTTCTCTTTATTGAACCTTATGAACACTCCAACAACAAAAGTTGTTATCCAATCTGTATGAAATTTATATGCATCATTTAGCTAGATTAGTAAAACAAAAAATCACCATGAATTTCAGCAATTTCCGTTAATTTCTTCTGAAGTTATGGCCCTTGTTTCACTTTGTTGCGCCTTGTAAATGCTCTAACCACAATAGTTATCATCTGATCTGTATGAAATTTACACATCATTTAAATTAGTGACACAAAGACTCCTCAGCAATTACCAATAATTACGACTAGAGTTATAGCCCTTGTTTAACTTTGCTGAACCTAGCTTGTGAACATTCGAATGCCGAAAGTTATCATCTGATCTGTACGAAATTTATATGCATCATTTAAATTAGTGAAATGAAGAATCCTATTGAATTTCAGCATTTTCAATTAATTACTTGTAAAGTTATGCTCCTTGTTTCACCTTGTGAACGTTAAAATGATGAAAATTATCATCCGATCCGTATGAAATTTATATGCATTATTTGAATTAGTGAAATGAAGAATCCTATTGAATTTCAGCAATTTCTGTAATTACTTCTAAATTTATGGCCCTTGTTTTACTTTGTTGAACTTGTGAACGTTCAAATGGCAAAAGTTATAATCCAATCTGTATGAAATTTATATGCATTATTTGAATTAGTAAAATGAAAAAGCCGATCAAATATCAACAATTTCTGTACATTACTTCCAGATCTGTATGAAATTTTCTGTAAATAAATGCCCACAATTATCTACAAAATAAGAAATGTGTGACAAACCTTGTCGACAGCTCGGACGATTTAGCTGCTGTGGGCTTATGTTTCGTTGCCTGGCAACCTATCTTATTTTAAAAACACAACATTTTATAAAGTTATTTATAATAGATGTATTTGGTTTCTTTTGGAGACAATAGGTTCTTTACGAATGATTGGCTATATTTTGATCATGGTCTCATTAATATATTAATTTGTACATATTTTGATATTTATTAATTTATAACACATGACACAATTATATGGAATACAAGTTACTTAAAGGAGAATGACATATTTGTACATATTTTACCTTTTTACCTTTATAGGAAATATCTGAAATGTCCTACATCTATACCACTATATGAGTTATTATATTATAATTCTGTATCTGTCATCAAACATCATATAAATGCTTCACCTAGAGCAGCTATACAAAGAGCTCTTAGTTGTCCACATCATTACTTACAGGTATATTAAACACTTTGTTTCATTAACAGAGTCATTGCATTAAAGCCATAAATTAGAAAGAACCAATTAATTATGTGTACATCATTAAACAAACATTGCCAGATTTAATGTATTTAGATCAATCTTTTGATAGATCTGACAGCTTTGCCAGGGAACTTGACTGAATTGTTTGTGTTGACTATTTATCATTAGCCATTGTTTTATTCTGTTCACTCCCAGAATTCCTCAAATAAAACTTGACTAAACACTTATTTCATTGGCTAATCCCTACAGAAACAATAAGCTTTCATATGTAATATGAAAGCTTAAAGATACATTTTGGGAGAATAGATAAAGAGCTGGCATTTCTTACTGTAATAGTTAAAAAATAGATAATGTAGGCTAAAGGCAATTCGCTGAAAATGTCAGTCAAATTGATCTACTCTGAACCGCTTTTTTAGTGATTGCATTTTGGGTCTCGCCTCCATCATCATTACTAAAGTCGGTACGATAAAAAGCATAGTCTCAATTATCCATTTTTTTATTTAATTATCAATGAGCGTATCGCATTCTAGTGATGACATCAAGAGTTGATTATGGTCTGGATAAGTTAATTAATGTCTAATTATTAATTTAGATAACATTTCAGGCCTAAAGAAAGACGTGCAATTGGCAGATTTAGCTCTTGCATAATGTATGTTTGACAATAGCTTTAACAGAAACAATAAGCTTCATATGAAATCTTACTAAAAGTGAACTTCGAGTTAATTCAGCATTTGATTTATTAGAATTTGATAATGCTCCTAACCATAACTAGTATTAAGAATCACAACATCACCACTGAAGCAAATTAAAGTAAAAAACACTGCTATAATATATGGCCTTTAAATGTGACAGTAAAGTGAATATTTTGTATGAAATAATATGACATGTACTGATAAGTCTTCCGGTCTTCATTAGCCCAGTTCGGAGCAGAACAGTAGGATGTTAAACCCCATTTCATTTTATTTCACTGATAGTCTTTGACACCCAGAACCAGCTAGTCTTCCACTTACAGTGGGTCTGGGTCACTTGTCAAGGTTTAATGCAATTTTACTGGATAATCAACCACAAGTAACCAAAATCCTGGTTACGTATGTGCAATGAAATTTTTAGTCAAGAAATCTTGTAATTCGTGCATAATTATACAAACATGAATAGTGACAACGAATTAGGATTAATATAAACCATAGATATGATCCTTGAAGAGGAAAATTTTACAATACAAAAACATAGGAGTGTTAAATATTGAACAGGCAATGCAAATATATTCTTGTGAAATGGCAATTCTTAAATTAAGCTCATGGGCGTCAACATCTTATTTTAGGGCTATTATGCTCTCTGCCTGAAAAAAGTAGATTTCGTATGATAACATAAAAGACCAGATAATCTAGTCAGCTAACTAGATATTCCATGTGGACGTATATTGTCCTCGCCCCTGTCTGGACATATGTCTGTCCGTTCACATTTTGTTTATGGACGCTCAACAGGTCACAATTTTTATCCAATTTTTATCAAACTTGAAATATAAGTTTGTAAACTGTGTATCCCAAATATCTTAGTGCCTTTCGATATTGGTGGGGATTATGGTACAGAAAATTGCCTTCTTAGCTTGTTCTTTGTCAATCTCTTGCAAAATAAGGACGTATCTTGCATGGCAATCGCTTTTAAGATTGTCTGTTTAACAAATTAAATTAACATATTCCAGATTCATTATGCTAAATTACTCTTTTTCTGATTATTTTTAGTGTGAATGTTGTAAAGGAGATGTTGGATCTATTTTATCTACCATGCCTGATGTTTGCATAGTTTATAAATTACATTTAGAATGTGGTCAACTCATTAACTTATATGACTGGCTACAAGTAAGTGTTTCTAATTGTTGATACAAAGGAGTCTTATGCAAATGACTTATGGCGCCATATCAGATTCTTGGATTATTACCACATCAAATTTCGTAACCATAAAAGTTAATTATTTGCCAAAATTAATTGCAACTGTTAGTTCAATATCTAATCTATTAAAATCAAACATTAGCTGGCAGAGGCGGATCCAAGGGGAGTGCACCCCCCCCCCCCCCCAATTTTCAACAGTGCCCTTTTTTACTGCTGAAAGTGCCTTTTCTCAGACCCAAATATGTCCATTCCCAACCCGTTGCAGGGATCCCTAATGACTCAAACCATCGACACAAACACACCAGTCTGGTCTAATTAATGCTTCCACTTTCAAACGAATTCTTGTTGTTTAGCTGACGGTGCCTAATCCTATAGAGTGACTATAGACAGACATCAATAATAGCATCTTGTGGAATCAGCGGCGTATACACTCATGTCCTTCACCGACGCGCATGAGTGCAACCTGATGTAGCATTGTTTCATGTGTGGACAGTACACAGTAAAAGTTACAAGGCTTAAATAGTGAAGTGGCTAGGGAATAGATTCGTCTTTTTTCCCATCTTTCCCAACTTTATATATTCTGTACTTAAGGAGTGAAATATACCATTTTAACAATAACTCCCTCGCCTTGACAATTTGCGAGTCACATGTTCAACTGGCTTTTTCGCTCGATTTTAAGGCTCTTTTTCAACGATTTCCGAATGTTTACTTAGACGAAAATATCAGCCAAATAGTTCTTGGAATGGCTACAGATGCAAGGAAATGATTTTCTGTCAGTGCCCTCAATTTGCGGCGCCCCCCCCCCCCCCCCCTTTTCAAAATTCCTAGATCCGCCCCTGGCTGGTGATTATTTTCAATACACAGTTGGGCGATGAAACTGAATATAAATTCATCCCTTTATTTTTGTTTCCTTCAAAAATTTGGTTACTGATTGCTTCAACCTACTGGATATTGTCTGCTGTGAGGAAATTTATGATCATAATTCCCATTAATATGTTTGTGAAGGATTAGATATTTTAAACATGCATATTTATTGAAATTATAACTACTTAATGGAAGGATAGATTTTATGATGTTATACAGTAAATTTGTTTGTTTTCAGGCATTTGTAACCGTGGTTACATCCGAAGATGAAGAAAATGAAACCAACACAAAAAAACCTGATCAAGTTTTACAGTATCCTTGTTTGGTATAAAAAATATCTGAAAGGGTAAAATGATATAAATGGGTATAAATATGTTGTTAATCATTTCAAATACTACATTTTTTATTCATACCAATTCTCAGGGAAAAAATTAGGGTTTTACAATGAACAATGAACCCAATCCATAACCATGAATGTCAGATTCATGATTGAATGTTGATCATATATTGGCTTGCTGTGACAAATGAATGCAGTTTGATTGTACAAAAAGTAGAGTACATTCTCTTTTATTTATTTTGACTTCTGCTAGAACTTCATCTTTCGGTTTTTAAGTTTTAAAATATCAGCATTCAATTATATAAAATCCTTTCTTTGTGTTTTTGCTGTTCTAGGTATTGTTATATACTTGGGAGTCAGTGAATAAGAGGTCCTGTGTTCAATTCCTGTGTTTGCTGAGAAAGTTCACCAGGATTTTCCGGTGTGGTTCCTGCTTGTCAGTGGTGCGGGACAGAGGGCCTGGCAAGGGACAACGTATAGTTGTTTGTGTACACATTGACAGGCACGTAAAATATCCCTTGGCAGTTGGAACTGTATGGCGTATGGGATCTTCATTTGCCCCATCGTAGCAGAACAGTAGGATGTTAAACCACATTTCATTTTGATATGTACATTCATTTCATTCATTTTTTTTCCTTAACCTTATTGCAGAGCTCGCTTTATAAGAGCTGTTTCTGAACTTCAATTTCTTGGCTTCGTTAAACCCACCAAGAGAAAGACTGATCATGTAGCCAGATTAACATGGGGAGGATGTTGATGACTGATCTTGAATAATAGTTTAGAGAATAAAATGATATGAATCATTTATAGAAATTGTTTTCATTATTTTACTTTTATTCCCCCAGCCTTTCATAGAAAGCAGGGATCTAATAATAAAATAGATTCATTGGTCATTTTTACAGCCCACATTTTCATATGGACATATATTGTCCATCCGAACTTTTGTTCACAATCGGAAGGTCTGACAATGATAGCTGTCTAGTCGTTCGGATGGGACGAAAAACCGAGGTTCCGTGTACACATTGGCGTGCACGTAAAAGATCCCTTGACAGTTGGAATTCGATAGAAGAGTAGGCCGTAGTGCCACTGTCCGGGCAAAATTACCCTCATAGCACACTGTATGGCGTATGCCGGTCTTCGTTAGCCCAGTTCGGAGCAGAACAGTAGGACGTTAAACCCCATTTCATTTCATTTCATTTCTGTTCACAATTTGTTTGTGCACACTCTATAGATCACAATTTTTATTCGATTTTGCCGAAATTTGAAATATAGAATTATCTTCCAAGGATTTCGGTTCATGGAATATAGCTCCAGATTGTACGAAAAATCACGTTTTTGGCTCGTGGACACTGTAGAGGTCACAATTTTTATCGATTTTGATGAAACTTGAAATGTATATTTATAACCCGAAGATCCCGGTTTCTGTCGATATTCGTGTATATCGGACCATTACTTTCTGGATTATGGCCCCTGATTGTCCAATTTCTATGCCTTTTGAAAAAAAACTGTTTAAATATATCACTGTTACACCCTTATGATGGTTGAGTTTGAATTTTGTATAAAACTGCCTGACAAAATTGCTGCTCCTTGTACGCAAATAGTGTAAAAGTATGTATTACCAAGGGTTGTGGACTCTCTAGAAGTCAAAATTGATTATCCTATTCTGATGAAACTTAAAATATATGGTTATATCCAAAAGCTTTCGGCTTCTTTTGATATTCATACATATCGGACCGTAAATTCCAGGATTATGGCCCCTGATTGTACAAAAAATCACATGGTTTTTTTTAGCTGGTTCTCTGTTTATCTCTTGCAAAATGTGGAAGTATGTTGCATTGCATCGCAGGTAATCATGCTAATAGTTGTGCAATAAATGTGTACAGGGAACTGAGCCAATCAATGGGATTGGAGGTTAGACCACGACCAGTCAACAAATAGTTTAATATTGGACTAAAAGTATAATATTTATATTTAAGAACTTTGCCTTTAAAGTAAAGCCAGAAACTGTGAAGAACATTTTCATAGGCCCACATTTAATTGTGGAAGTATTATGCCGTCACGCCCAGAAGACAAATGCTATCCATATACAGCGTCTGCCACCTTCGGCACCAGAGTTATGCCCTTTTTTTCCGAAAACCATGTGAACCTTAACAAATTTGGTAAACAGTCAAATTTTCTTTTCGGATAAGCAGCAATCTATGACCACCTTTATTTTAAGACAAAGATGCTGGGTGGGTCTCTGTCCACACTTTGCATGGCTATCCTAATCAAAAGAGGCAATGAAGCTAAAAAATCGAAATTTCGAGCACTGCCATACTTAGATTTAATCAGATTTCACGATCACCAGCAGAACCCTTTGAAAACCACTAGAAGCTAATGTGTACGTCTCCTAATGCATTTAAAACATCTACATCTCAGCCATGGATAGGCGGTATGTCTCAATTTCCATGCACTCTCATTTGAATACATCCCGGTTTAACTGTATGTCAAATCACGGCAAAGAGAAAATATTATTTACGGATATAAACTTTATTTCTACAAGGGTTCATATCTGTACATATATTATTACATGATAATATCAGCTTTTAGAAATTGTATACAGAATGGTCATATACAATTTACACTTAAAAGATTCTTCAGTTACGTTGAATATATAGACCAAATTGATTTAAGATTCCTGAAACAAATAATACACTAGGTTATATAATGTATAAAATGGAAAATATCATAGACCAGGGGGTCAACCCAGCTGAAAAGTGTACCAATTTTCTCCTATATGGTATCAATGTATGTATGTCTGGTACCATCAGAATGTAAGTCTGCCGGGTTTCTGGTGGTGGGTGTGGTATTCCACGCCCTAAATGCCATGACCCCGAACTAGGCTAGATTAGCTCAAAAGTGTACCAAATGAAAATCGTACAGCAGTGTACCATACATCTTCAAGTATTACAAAAACACTCTGACAGACATTTCTAGTGGTGGGGTACCCCTGACAGAGCTATGTAATTGCCAGACATTTATAGTGATGGAGTATCCCTAACAAGAGTTATCTAATTTCCAGACCAAAGCTAGGCTAGATTAGCTGAAATCTGTACCACCTAAAACAGCTTTGGAGTTGTTCAGTACCACCACAGGAGTCATGCGGTGGGTTACCCCTAACAGACACGCCCAAAAATGCCACCCCCAACTAGGCTAGCTTCGCAGGCACTGTTCCTGTTTTCTAAAAAAAAATTATTTTTAGTCAGGATGCGTAGGATACTAATACCTAGCACGTATGGGAGAGGCGATAAACTGCGATTGCAAGAAATTGATTTTTGGGAAAAAAGCATCTTTTATGGGGCTAAAAATGCCTTTTTGAAAAATAAAATTGTTCATACAACCGCAGTTTATCGCCTTTTCCATATGTGCTAGGTATTAGTATTCTACGCATCCTGGCACAATTTTTAATTTTTTGGACCACAGGAACAGTGCAGACTAATCTATCCTAGTTAGGGGTCGTGTTATTTTGGGCATGTCTGTTACCACCGCACAAACTGTCTGGCAGTGGTCATTTATGATTCCTGTGTTGGTACTGAACAACTCCAAAGCTGTTTTAGGTGGTACAGATGTGAGCTAATCTAGCCTAGCTTTGGTCTGGAAATTAGATAACTCTTGTCAGGGATACTTCATCACTAAAAATGTCTGGCAATTACATAGCTCTGTCAGGGGTATCCCACCACTAGAAATGTCTGTCAGAGTGTTTTTGTAATACCTGAAGATGTGCGGTACATTGCTGTGCGATTTTCATGTGGTACACTTTTAAGCTAATCTAGACTAGTTGGGGGGCATGGCATTTTGGGCGTGGAATACCACATCCACCACCAGAAACCCGACAGACTTACATTCTGATGATACCAGATATACATAAATTGATACCATATAGGAGAAAATTGATACACTTTTCAGCTAGGTTAACCCCCTGGGCTCCCGTTCTATCAGTTCAATTAAAATCATATTGTGTAACGCTTCTTTAATGTCATAATTAAATATTTGCTGAAGTATCTTCGTGAAAATAACACAATAGTCAAATTGTTCTTTATATTAATGTGGAATCCCAGTAACTTTATTAAACTACCACTAAAACCTTCACCAGAACAACCTGTCTAACCCATCCCTCATCCAGGAAACCAGAAATTAAACTACATTTATTATCAGTTCGAATATGGTTAGTGCTTTAGAAGACCGTGAACGTGAACATTCAGTCCTTCTAGCCCCAAAAGGCTATTTTATTATGGTAAAGTAATCTGATTTTTAAATGTTTAGATTCGGGATACTTCTGGGGGGTTTTCATTTTCTGTTTCCTCATCTTGCCCAGTTTCTGTAGCTGTAGTATTTTCTTTCTGGTTTTCTCGATTCCCTGTGATGACCTCTCCCTTAGCTTCTTCATATGACAAAGCCGGGATGCCCTTTACCTCATAGACCGGTGGTGGTGTAATTCCAACGACGTAAATGTTATCTTTAACAGGGACCTTTTCTGGTAATGCTGAGGCCACCGTTGTAATATCCACTGCTCGTTTGGACCTTCGCTTGACACAAAGAAAGACACATGTAGTAAATATCAAGACCAAGAGGAGGAACCCAATAGATACGGACAGAATAAGCCAGAGCGGATATCCAGCTATAAATATTGCATCATCTTGTAGGCCATTTTTACTTGGCTCATAAGCAACATCTTGTGCTTGGGCACCAGCTCCCTTTACTCCAGGGTCGGCAGTAGTAGTAATTTTTACAGATGTAATAGTTGGTTCGGTTTTAACTGGTTCGTTTATTATAGCTGATTCGTCAGTCTGAGTGGAAACATCTATTTTCGGATTACTGGGTATATGGGGAATGGGGTAACCATTAATCTCCTTCGGGTATGTTACAGAACCTTTAAATATAAAACATAACATATTCGTTGCTGACAGCAAAATCACTTTAGATATTTGTATTCTGTGATGTTCAGAAGAGTTAGATCAAATCTAGCCACCTACATTCAATGAGTTATCATTGACGGGAAAGTTATTCACCATGTTAAATAAAAAGATACAGTTTGAAGACACCTATATTCAATGGGTTATATCTTCTGACATCGAAAGTTTGCTTTTAATTTTTAAAATGGATAAAGCTGCAGGTGGGTATATGTTACCTTGCCTGGAAAGCTATTCCAAAGAACTATTTTCAAAGCTTACCTAAAGGAGCATTGTCTTGAGCAAGGACTGTATCATCTGCGGCAACTGAAAGATAAATGTTAGGTATATTGAAACCAATAATACAATTTTATCTTGAATTTAATCCTCATTGGGTAACTATGACAAGAAAGAAACAGGGGGTAATTCGTATTACGGATGAGCATGGGAAAAGTTACAAATTATAGATGACTTCTCACGTAAAAACTGTGAGATATTATGATATATTTGGACTAAAAATATATCCAAACTAATTTATCTAAGACGCGTTTTCTTCAAATCCCTCTTAAAACATTTTATTTCCAAGGAACTACCCCAAGCCGTAAAATCTATATTAAGCTGCCTTGTTTGTTACTTGACTTGATTGGTGGGGGCGGGGGGGCGGAGCTTACAGCTTGTATTTATCGATGCTCAGTGTCCGTATACCATGAATATCGAAGCATAAGTAAATTCTTGGATTATCCTCTGCCAACCGTCTTTTCTGCCATTAGTATGTTGTATGTTTAAGTCTCAACGGCTAGCAATTCGATCAACACATCCAAACCGCTCCGTATGCATCAAATTTGCCGTACGTTTGTTGGAAATAACCACCCTATAAATCTATCTTTAATCTAGTCTCTAAGGAAACTAAACTAATGTGTACCTGTGACATCAGCTGTGGTTTCTTGAACAATCGGACCAATTGCTAGTAATAAAAAAACACAGATCAGCTGTTACTATTTTAAAAGAAATTAATTTTTAAAGATTGCTTAATATATCATTAGGATGAAAGTTGTCGAAATTCAGATTTTAAAGCCCATGGATTTGACGGTATATGGAATGTGATATCACCATCGGCGCATTCGAATCTTTAAGCCCTGCGAACGAATGCATTATATTCATTAGGCCATTGAATGTCTTAACGCCCGTCCCCATGCACTTATGGATGCAAAGAGGATGTAAAACGGGGAAAAAACGTGCACTCCGTTTGAAAACCGAATGCATCCCTTGTGTACTCATTGCATACGTGTTTCATACGCTCTATCCATCGAGCATCCGTTCACTTTGATTTCATCCGCGCAAAAAGTTTTGAGCTGCACAAAACTTTTATAACGGATGAACTTTCTGCCGTGTACGATGTAAATGCGCGACATATACGAGCACCAAACGTTCCATGTCCTTTATCATCCGTTAAACGTCCACTGTATCCTCTCTTCATCCTCGCAACTCACATCCGCTCCAGCTGAAAACGGAAAGAGGGAGGAAAGATAAGGTACATGGAACGTCTATTCATCGTTAGTAGCACGGAAATAGAAAGGATGTAAGCGTATGCATCTCGTATATAAAGTTTTCAAAACGGACAAAGCGTTTAACGCGTTTGTATCTGGGATGTATCTGGTATATTGAAGGATGTCTGGAGTTTGCCTAACCCCTTCGGAGCTGTCATCCACTTCCATCCGCTTTCATCCGCTAGGCTTCCGATGAACATCCATTTAACATCCCCGCTACATACTTCCCACGTTCGTTCTTTTCCGTTCTGTTTTCGCAAATTTTCGTCAATTTTGTCCATTTCTGGAGCGGATGAAAACGGATGGAGCCACCCCCCCGAAAGTTTGCTCGTCCACTGTGTCCTTTTTGCATACGTTTTGTGTCCATCGGCCACTGGGACCGGGCCTTTAAGTAGCGGGGTATAGCTGCCACATTTCAAATAGCCAATGGAATGATGTTTTTCGTTTGACAATAATGGTTTTATCCAATCACGGTGACCCAAATCAAACTTTAAAGAGCTAATCTATAAAGAAATGATTTAATCTTTCGTAAAGTAGCCCCACAATATATAAAAAAAATTGGAACGAAATAGTTTTATTTACACAGATACGGGGCATTGGTTCTAAAAACAAAATGTCGTAATGGATGCTGAAACCACTGATCTTACCCAACTCCCGTTTACCGTATATGGGTGGTAAATGTCATATATTAATACATACGCACCTTCTTCACAGTTAATTCCAGTAAATCCTGTAACGCAAATACATCCTGGTGTCTGTTCAATAACTCCACAGATTCCACCGTTCATACATTCAGATTCACAAATAGCTGGAATGGCATTAATAGAAACGTGAAGTTGGGCTACCTAGTATAACTTGCTTGTGTTATAAGATTTTCGTTATTAGTATGAAGAATGTTCTTAAATTAGTGACTATTTCTTTTTAAAGGAGGTAGAAGGATCGAGGATAAAAGAAATAAGCATCTATTTATCTTCTATTCTAAGGATTACCAACGCCAATAACGTTATCTCTACTTTTAATTACTAAATCAAAACGATGTACTATCTACAAAAATAAACAAACACCAGAAACATTTCCTTTCCCAATACTTACGTATTTCACAGTTTTCACCCTCGAAACCCTGTGGACACTCACAGACTGAGGCGCCAGCTTCAATGACAACATACCCTCCACTTCTACATTCCAGTCTCTTCAAGTCTTGTACCAATGGTGCCACGGGTACCATAACATCTGCATTAACTTGTGTTGGTTTTGGTAACCCTTGTCCTGACATACCTTGTAAGGTACGGAAAAAAGCTGGCGGCATTGGAATCATTGAAGGAAGTGGTGAACCTGGCATTTGTGGCATTGGTATGTTTAACGAGGGCATTCTTCCCGTATTCATTGGTGGCATCATTGGTAAATTAGGCATATTTGGCACGGCGTCGCTCATCATACCTACAAATATTGTCAAAAGTGAAAAATTGATTAATTGCTAAGACGGTTAGCACACGTTTTCTACTCCAGTAATTCAGCCACTTCTCTAGATGTGTACCGCGGTAATGGAAACATTCAGAACAAACAAACGTCCGAATCATTGTCGCAACTCTAATCCTCCACATGTATACACCTAAATTAGCAGAAATATTGCCTCGTCGGAGCTTCTGTTATTATAAAATTTTCGGTTAACCTCCGAACCCCACACCAAACTTGACCTTGCCTCCACCCCTAACGCCATTCAGCTCACATTTTCCCGGACACGCCCTTGCATACTTACTGTTACATTGTATTCCAATACTAGACAAAAAATTAGACAACATTCTTCTGGTAATAATAACTTGGGCACCAGTACCACAGGCATTCTGTCCAGCCATAATACAGGGAGCAATTCTTCTACCATTTCTGTTTTTAAACAAATATGATTCTAATTAAAATAACTTTCCATTACGGTCTTCAAGTTGGAGTGTCGTTCAATATGAAATGTACATAAGGTTTATCTGTCTATTTTTACTCTAACAACTCTTACTGTGTCAAGTTATCGTTGTGGATCTAAGCATGTAAAATAAATTAAACTCATCGACTTTCATATCATTCGTCGTTAACTGTATAAATAAAGATGCAATATTTTGAGGAACCTTCTTTTAAACCACGCATTTCAAAGCAAAATCATTACTGACCAGTCTATTCAAGAACTGAACATTTATCTTACCCGCAAATTGCTTTCGTTAAACTAGGATTTCTGTTTTTGAAGATGTCAGCAGGGAAAGCTTGTATGCCGGCATCTCGAATACATCGGGTAATACCAACCTTTAGTATGTCTTCACATTTCTCCTCTACAAAAATAATGACAGGATTTGTAAATCTATTCATTTTATATGTGTAGGTCGTTAAGCAGTGTGCATCAGAGGGGATGGTGCGAATTGCACAAGTGGGGCGTCTGTCGATCCCCCCCCCCCCATAACGTTTTGAAATTAGTCCGCCGCATACGCTACCTGTATACGGGCCTTGTTCTTGTTCGCTCAAAGGGAGGAATACTTTATAGGGGTATAGGTTTGTCTTTTGGGACACGGTTTTCACTCATTCCCATCCATAATATTTATTCAGCGTAAGGCCACTCGTACATAATCTCCATCCATCGGTCGCGTTAATGTTATTGCTTGTAAAACAGAAGTCGGAGTTCTTAACAGTAGATCATCTTTTGGAATCCAGAATGTCTGATGGGTAATTGCTGAGTAACAAAAGGAAAATCAACAATTACTTACTATTTGGCACTCTGCCAGTAAAAGATGGAGGTTGTTGTTGAGGAAGAATCTGTTTCTGTGGATTGTTAATATGGTATTTATGGTAGAATATGGGTGTTGTGGGTTTGGGCTGAAATTGTGGAAACTTTTTCTGTTGCCTGTTTCCTAAGACTGAAGCAACGGCTACGTCGTTAACCACGTTGTTGGGTCTTTTTGAGTCAGTACTCTGTTGGTTATTTCTGGACATACCGTTTAACCTATTATTGATATTCACTGACATCGGTTTTTGTACAGGCAGATTACGCGGTGGTTTGGAAACAGGGTTAGAAATTTTAATAAAAGACTTTGTTTTTAGTATTGGAAGAGGCATCATTTGTTTCATGATCATCATGTTCATAAGCATAGTGGGGTTTGGCACAGGCCCGCGTCCTGTGTCCATTAATGGCATTGGTGGGAGCATGTTTGGTGGCATGATGGGTGCGGGCATATCAAATTGAAGTGGTCCCATGGCTTGTTTAAATTGTTGTTGTAAGATATTCATCACAATGTCCATTGATGGAATGGGCTGTCTTTGAATAGGTAAACTTGGGATGGGTAAACCTAATGGTCCAATATTGCCATCTCCTCTTCCATTTGTCATTTGACAAAATATTCCCTTAAAACCTGGAGGGCACATACATTTTGGCATTCCATTTCCAGGAGCTACGAAACCACCATTTAAGCAAGGTCCATTCATCTGTCCGCCCTTGGCTGAAATTAGTTTGAAAGCATTCTATCAATTCTTATTTCATTACAAAAATTTAAATGAGAAGTGGTATCAATTATTAATATTGTTTTACCATCCCAATTATGCCCCTACAAATATTCGGACTGGAACTTTATTATTGTATTCGGTAAGGTGGTTTACTTACGGACACTACATTCGCCAGAGGGACCAGACTCCCAACCAGGACAACAAGTCGGTACTCTGATATATTCCGCCATTGGTACCTTCATAGTGTATTTACATACCCTCCAACCATGCCTGAAATAGTTCAAAGCAATCTTGTTACAGGTGGCTATCCATGTGGGGTTTTTTATATTAGACACCCACGTTTAGTTTGGACGTATTATCATCATCTGCGTTCGGTGGTCTAATCACAATTTATATTTTGGCGGCAGGTGTTCAATGGACCATACGGAAGAAACCTTAGAAACTCATCTTTTTTTCAGTTTTTAAATAGATGACAGTGCGCTAAAACATAGGGATTTTCAATACATAATGGAATTGCACATCGGAAACTTGGTGGAATTGGTCATTGAGTATTTTATAGGTAACGCAGACAACTTCGCTGCTGGTGTGCTTATAAATTGGTAACCCGGGCAACTCCAGCAATGCTTGGGTACAAACATTGAAAACATAGATTGCTGTTAGATGCTATAATGGGCATGTTGGAATTATAATTTATAGTTAAAGATACACCTCTTGTTCACCAAAATGGATAAGATACATACCAGTACATCATGACTAAAATTGCAGATGTTCTTGGATTTGATTTCTTAGGAAGAGGAACGCCCCCTGGCTTTCCAGGGATACATAGATATGGGATGGGTAATTCCTCGACCTTTGTTCGACGAACCAACGAAATACATCTTCTTCCATCTATTGGGAAGATTGGTAGTTGGGTTTGTGGGATATTTTGTGGTTGAAATCTAGGAGATGAAACTTGTGGTGCACTAGATAAATGGGGTCTGAAATATAAATAGAAAGTTACTTCATATATTAAGACTTTGGGTGTTCCTTTATTTGTTAAACTTATAGTCTTCCATCACCAAAAGGTTTGCATATTAGAGCGTATATTAAATATTTTATTTTATGAACAGATGAGTTGGGGTCAAACATGAGTAGAATAACAGGTATGTAAACTGTCACACTTTCATCATGAAATAACATATCACATGAAATTTATGTAGTCAACTGGTTTTATTACTCTACTGCTGACTGTATATATATCATAACCTGTACATTACTAATGTATTTGAGTCATACATATAGTTTGGGGTTTTCTAGAACCTTGGTTATAACCTATTGACAAACCATTAACGGTTCTATGAGTAATAGCTATATTCTGCTTCGACAGGTTGTTAAAGTATGCATCTTTACTTGCCTTAATTTGGAAATTTTACGTAGTTTGATATAAACAAAAAGAGGTTCAGTTTTAACATATCTAATTGATTTATTTAGAGGGTGATATTTAGAGGGTGTACTTTTTAAAACATAATTCCGCTGTATGTCCGGAAACATTTACAATCCTATTTCATAATTTATGTAATGTAATAATAAATTAATAAAGCGCCTTCACCCCAACAACGAAAATTATCAGCAAGGTACACACACCATACATAAACAAAAAAAAAGTTATTTCAAAGCAGCTCTAACCCGGAAATCGGGTTTCACGTAGGCGTTTACGGATTGTTTGATCAATAGTAATGATATCTATATGACGTGATCTATACGTACTTCTCCGCCGGTAGCGTGTCTCTGATGTTCAGAATGGGGTCAGTCTTGTTTGGCCTGAGCTTGGGCGGTCACGTATTGATCTTCGCTGTCGACACCTATCCCAAAAGCGAGAAATGGTACCATGGGAAACATTCAGCAGCCTGGCTACATCTGCCGGGGATTCACTAGTTCAGTGGGTCTCATTACACTCACCCTGTAGGCCTACGTTCAGGAACCGCCCTATTGAATCCCAATCTGATTAAAACACAGATCCAATTTCGTTTCGTTTTTATAGTTCAAAATTTCGATTTTACTTGTCTTTACTACACTTGGATCTGGAAGCGTTGTTATTTAACTCGTGTTCTGCTTGAAATGAGGGATCAGCCAATCAAATGATCTGTCGAATCGAGCGTTTGACCTTTTTTGCGCGGAACTGTGGGTAGACATTAGCGGCAATAATAGAAATCAAAACAAAAGCAAAAGTAGATAAAAAAATACATGGCGGTCGCTAATTGGTTAATCGAATGACTGACGTAATCGGGTCAAGTGTAGCTTGCTTGGTACCTGACGTCATAGAACGTGAACTCCCACTACAACTTGTTAGATCTATATGTAGTGTAGGCCATCGAAAGTATAAAAAACGAAACGAAATATAGATCTATATTTTAATTAGATTGATTGAATCCTTGTCGAAAAACTTTCGAACTCCAGTCAATTTTACTGGGCAACTTTTTAATGCTAAATGGTAGCGTGTCAGTCCCTGTGAATGCCTGTACAATGTAAAGGAACATTTTAGTGAGAAAATGAGACCTCGCTTCCTCGCTAGAGTCAGTATGCGCGACACAACATACTGTTAAAAATACGTCCCCTTTTGCTAAACGCCTTGGCAGAAGCCATTAAAATCTAAATATAGGTTAAACTCGCATGTGTCTTGGTGCAACCAAACGAAAATAAATTTCGACAAAAATGATGACCAGTCACAATTAGAGACCCTACATTTAAAACCAATAATGAATTTATTTTATCCTTACGTAATGACATCAAAAACAAGTAAGATTTATGGAAACAACGACCCCGTTCAAATGAAAAATCGATGAAAATGGGCTATGCGTTTCTTTTTTTTTTGAAGAGTATATTTTGAATGTATTCCAGAGCAATTTAGTGGTGCCCTTGAGCCATTTCACCAATTCATCTTAATTTCTTATTTATACGTATCCTGTATAATACTAGTATGCTATTTGTGTTCACAGTGCAGTTAAATCACAATTAAACAACAGACATATTGTGATGGTTTGTCAACTATATTATTGTGTATATGATGTAATACACTTTATGCGGGTTAAGGGTTGATTTCGTGAGAACTTAAGATAAATTGTCTTTAATTTTGCCCCCAGCTAAAATGTAATTACTACAGAACAACAGGGTAAACATTCACAATAAGATTGATTATAGACAAATATTATTACTAGATAATCTCAATAATGGAGAATTCCACATTAATCCAAAACCTACAGTTATCCCGTGATCGCTTTAACCCAATTTATATAATTCATGAAACAACACATGAACAAAACCTGCTACACAGGTATGACATATTATGCAACTGTAATAATAAATAAACTGTATGTGTAATAACAAATAACTGTTTACTATTTTATAAGTAATCTGCAAAGTTAATATTGTCGAAGTATCACGTGTTGGTTCAAACGGATTAGGAAAAAAAAATTGACATTTACACCCTCATAACCTCTGTGATTAGTAAGGCGGTGGCGAACTAACTGGGAAGCCCCGGGATCGATCCCAGTGTTGGCAGAGAAAGTTCATCGGAAATAAGGAACAGCGTCTAGTCGTTCGGATTTGATAGCACTTTGATAGTTGGAATTCGAAGTAGAGAAGGCCAAAACTACACTGCTTTCGTAAAATTCCCGAATAGCACACAGAGTGATGTTTCCCCGTCTTCATTATCCCAATTGGAGCAGAAATGCAGGACGTTGAAAACAATTTCGTAAACTTCCGAATAGCACAAGGAGTGATGTTTCCCCGTCTTCATTATCCCAGTTGGGGCAGAAATGCAGGACGTTGAAAACCATTTATTTTAGGAACCCAATATTAATACTACGTCGCGATGTATTTTGTCAAAACGTACAAACACTTTACGTGTCAAAATTTTTCTCTGTTTTTTAACTGGACTAGTAATTTGAAACCATATTGGAAGAAGTACGATTCGTGGCTGGTGTTTCTTTAATTTTCCATTGACAGAATAAACTTTGCTTTAACTTTTTCGGAGGTGGGGTCGTGGGTCTAGGTTAGGGACAAAGTGTGTCGGGGATAATGGTTGCGCCTTCTCTTTCCCATTTCTGAATATATTTCTATTCCCTAATGTTCTTTACGGTAAGTACATTTGAGTGGGGCTTAATTGTAATGGTAATAACTGTCATAGACACATTATACCTATATATAATAAGAATTTGTGCATATAAATGTGATTAATTACATAAAGACTGTAACCTAATATTGATGAAATTTAATAAACCTTTTTTTATATATAACTTTTGTTGATGTATTTCTATTCCCTAATGCTCTTTACGGTAAGTACATTTGGGTGGGGCTTAATTGTAATGGTAACAACTGTCATAGACACATTTTACCTACATATAATAAGAATTTGTGCATATAAATGTGATTAATTACATAAAAAGACTGTAACCTACTATTGATGAAATTTAATAAACCTTTTTTTATATATAACTTTTGTTGATGTATCCTGGTCATTAGAACTGATATATTGACGCACCTGCCATTTTTACAAGGAAACGTTAACAGTGATAAATGATGTTATATCTATTTACAGTGTGTCGTAGAGGTGAATTGTTTGGGTCAGTGAGTATTAACAGTTTGATATATTCCTTGTAAGTGATTATTTATTCTATAATAACTGACCTGACTTCTATTATTATCCAAGTAAATGAACAGTTAAACAATTATTTACCTGTGTGACGTATCGGACTATGATGATTGATATTTATTAGCCTAAAGAGCTTATGATGTGGCCTTTGTCTCCCGTCCTTCATCTACTAATGGTGTTTTCATACTTTCAATTTTCCTAAAGTAGTCAGGATTGTTACTTGGGTATGTCATTGAAAAAAAATTCGCTAAATGATTGTAACGAAGAATATATTAGTGTTTTTTTCTGGGTTCACCGATTGTATCTATTAATACAATGGGCACAATTCTATGGAATACAAATTATTATTTATTTATTTATTTATTTATTTTTATTTAAGCGACGTTTCGGCAGCTAAGTCGGTCTAAACTGTTATGAGCTAATAACAAAAGTTTTAAAACATCTAATTGGATTAAAACGTCTGTAATTTACAAACAAACGGACAGACAACCATTACCAGTATAGATTTCAGAAATTTGGTTAAAGGACAATATCGGTGCCAATCATTATCACATATGTGATAGAGCTGGTTAAACACATTACAAATATAAATTTAACACAGAGATCATTGCTACGATAGCTGAGTAATACAGGTTTCCTGAATCGGAAGTGACGAACGCCAAAGGAAAACACGAATCATGCCTCTATATAACTGACTGATGTGACGAGTGATAACAGATACACTGTTATTTCTGCTCACTAATAATAATTCCTTCGAAGACCAAAAGTTGTTATACGGGACTGTAAGAGGATACCTGACAATTCAATAAGGTAATTGAATGTCATTAGATAAGAGAACACGAGAAAAATAGAACTAGACCGTACATTCCCTTGTTTATATTCATTCTATACCTTATAAAAACATGGTAATACACGGACTTTTTCTGTTTTTCCTTCGTGTTCTCTTATCTAGTGGCAGTCAATTCTTTTTATGAATTGTCAGATATCCTCTCACAGTCTCACACAACTTTTGGTCTTGGAAGGAATTATTAGTGAGCAGAAATTCGCCCATGTATCTGTTATCACTCGTTACTTCAATCAGTTATATAGAGGGATGCCTCGTGTTTTCCTTTGGCGTTCGTCACTTCTGATTCAGGAAACCTGTATTACTCAGCTATCGTAGCAATGATCTCTGTGTTAAAATTATATTTGGAACGTGTTTAATTAGTTCTATCACATATGTGATAACGACTGACACCAATATTGTCCTTTAATGATTGCAATGTATAAAGTTCTACGAAGATTTGGCAACAAGGGTGCATAACTTATTTACCATTTTCTTTTGTAATTTAATTTCAGTATTGAGGGATCCCTGAAGTGTGATTGTAGCGAACATGTGAATTACATGGTTGTAGTCGTAGTTTGATATTTGAATGATTTTATGTTATTGTTCTTTTTAAGTTATATTACCTTTATAACTGAAGGATTTAAAATTCTATCTGAAATGTGTGATTGCAGTTTACTTCCTTCAGTTCAGGTAGTATCTGAAATGTGTAATGTCAGTTTACTTCTTTCAGTTTACTTAATATCTGAAATGTGTGGTTTACTTCTTTCAGTTTACTTAATATCTGAAATATGTGATTGTAGTTTACTTCTTTCAGTTCAGGTAGTGTCTGAAATGTGTGATTGGGGTTACTTCTTTCAGTTCAGTTAGTATCTGAAATGTGTGATTGGGGTTACTTCTTTCAGTTCAGGTAGTGTCTGAAATGTGTGATTGGGGTTACTTCTTTCAGTTCAGGTAGTATCTGAAATGTGTGATTAGAGTTTACTTCCTTCAGTTCAGGTAGTATCTGAAATGTTTGATTGGAGTTTGGTTTTATGAACTACATTATGGATGATGCGACATTAAAATGTGTGCTTAAACTTTCCAAGGGTGTTTTTTTTAATAGTTTTTAGGGCGATGTAGTTGATTTGTGTTGGGGTTTTTTTTGGGTTTTTCTTTTGTTTTTTTAATAGTTTTTAGGGCGATGAAGTTGATTTGTGTTGGTTTTTTTTGTTTTGTTTTTTTTTTTAAAAAAACAAAAAAACAACAAAAAAAACCCACGTCTTTTTAATCCATTCATGTATAATCTGATGAATATGAGATGATTATGCATTGATTAATATTATTATTATTCATTTTAGATTGTTTTTCTTTTCATGTGTTTATTAAAGATTGAGGTCATATTTGTTGTTGTTTTGATTTGTTACATTGATAGATAAACAAGCAGGCGGTAAACAAAATCATCTATATTATTTATGTGTGATAGATTTTAACCTTTTGACTTCCAACAAACAAACAAATAAGTTTTTTGGTGTGAGTATATCTCAATACTGTTCGTTACTTGACATCTGACGGAAAACACGGAGGTTTTTTTTTCTGAGACTGAACATTATTTGGGATGGAAATAAATACATGTAGTATGCTGATCAAAGTATCAAAAGTGTCAGTGATTATTTTAGAAACGGTCTTGTCGGTGATTATTATAATAGGACCGTCATGAAATGATCAGAAAAAAGAACTTTGTTTGAATGCAAAGAACACAGTACGGGTATAGCGTTGTCAGGTCTCTACGTTTCTTCCGGGCCCGTAACTAAGCACTAAAATCAATCTTATATTATCCAATCAAATTACTAAAATTTGAATTTTATCTTAGTTAAAATTTCGTGAAACTGCCCGGTTTCTCCTATTATAAAGAATTAATCTTTCTGTCACGTTTACTTTTTCCTGTCCCAAAATCACAAAACTTTCTCAGATTGTAGATTTTAATCTATTACATGCATGAAATGGTCGAATACATCTCTAAAACAATAGATATGCACAGTGTTTCATAATCTAACCAGGAGATGTTTAAGTGTCGTTGTGACCTGTTGTTCGGGTATGATGTACAGCTTGACGTCTAGTACAGGTGAAGCAATCTTTTAAATTTATTGACAATAAATATCTTTCAACTTTAGTTTCTATGACAACCTTCTTACAAAGTATAATGCACAAAGAGTTGGAATACATGTGAAGTTAAGAAATCACACCCGAGAAAGTTTACGGTGTATTTCCTTTCTTCTATTCTCGTACTTAATGCCGCTACCAAAGATAATAAATTTACTTTTACAATTTACATAAAAACACTTAGATAAAAGTTTTATTTAAATAACTGTTTACGGGGCATATATATCCTATAATGGGCAATGCTCGTTCATTGACGATCTTTAATCCACACGCGGTCTCTCTAATGGCCTTTAAAACCGACAAAATATTATTCAGAAGAAATAACTTTAATTCGTGATATAAGTCAACTACACTGTTATAAAGGAAGAACTCTTGTCTATCAAGTATGCAAAAATGAAAAGAAGCCTGTATTTAAAATACACGTAGTCTTATTTATATGCATAAATTATCAATTTAAATTAAGATATCGTCCGATGTTAAATTTTCTTATGTAGTCGGGGAATTTGTTTTAAGCATTAAACAAAAATCAAAAAATTAAAAATCGTTCATATTAAGTTGGTATTTTCAATATTACAGAATTTTCAGCGGTCTTTTTTCTTTTAATCGCTTAGTTAATTAATAATAACATTGTGTATTTATTTTTTTTAAAGAAATCCTATTATAAATACACCATGAAATAATATTATTTAACAGAATTTTAAAATTGTATTTAAATTTGCCAGTTTTCAAGAAATGTTAAGCAAAATCTGTCTGAAAAATTTATTAGAAGTGCGCTATTATTTTAAACATTTATCATTGTAAAACTTTTAAACAATGATTGAAAACAAAAAGAAATCTTACCCATGATTGTGACACAGAACCGCAAGCGGCAAACAAATGACGAGTAAGTTTCGCACAGCGCCCATTTTGGTCAAGCGTCACGAAGCTCTAGAAGTATACTGTAGATATACGTGAATATGGCCGTGTCTGAAGGTAGATCAAGTGAACATAACATATGACAAGGTAAGTAAGTTGTCACCAGTTGAACGCGGTTTGTCACTTTCATGTCGCTCATCCATCAACCTCAACTGTTTTTACCTGCGCACAGACTAAGTTTATTTTATGCTAATTTCTATTTGTATACTTATCTTATATAAAACCATGAAGTGCATACATGTTATGGGAATTTTGAATTTACCTATAGTTATGCTTAAAACAAAGGGAGTTGATTCCATAACAACAAACTGCACAATAAACATTTTTACATTTTATATATTTAAAGAAAACCAACGTTTTCCGACTGTTTAATGTGACAAGCCCTCCTGGCTGAGAGTGATAAATCCCCTGTAAAGGAGTTAAATCTCTATTCTTTGGTACCTAGAAATGGACACAAATGGTTCGTAACGCATATAATAATGTAATATGAATGTATATAACCTGATTTACATTCAGTCGTTTCTGTTTTTACTGTAATTTCTAATCAGTTATGTTCGGTGAAATACGCGAAGAGTCCCAATTGAACGACAAGTCTTTGGCAGTCTACACCGGTAATATTCTCATGTGGGATATGTTTAGCCTCGTTCATCGAGTCACTTCATTACAAATGGCTCTAGAAAGCATTCTAGCACGCGATTCGTGTGCCAGTTTTAAAATTTTCATTTTGTCTCACATATTTGATTTCGAATTTGAACGGAACATGTAAAATTTTTGGGCCCAGTGAGTAGGCCTAAGGTATTGGTTCACTAACCGGTTTGATCCTGTTGTTGGCCGAGAATGTTTCTCGGAATTTTGTCAGTTGTGCAAAGCGGAGGGCTTGGCATTAAGGAACGGCGACTTGTCGGTGGATATCCCACGTACGCGGTCTTTATTGTTTATTTGTTTAATAGACGTAAAATGTCCTTTTATAAATTCAGTTTTGACCATCTTGGGATGTTATTTTCCACGCCCTTTGGAACGCAATTCATATTAGTGGGGCTGCCAGCGTTGTGAAGCTTAAATTGGCCCCGTGGGACCTGGGAAATGTTTTACACTGATAAATTGTGACGTTTTATCAAAAATCGAAGTTCGTCAATCGATGCGCAATTGCCCAAGGAAAAGGCATGTCGAGTTTGATGCCGATCGAACATGAATTGGGGAACCATAGGCTTTTTTTGAAGAGCGTCAAAAAGGAATAAGGCCCCGCCAATTAGCGCATGATCGACATGAAACAAACAGCATTTGATAATTTCTGAAATTTGATTTGGATGATTTTGTAAACCAGTCATACTTAGGACGGTGAGAATGCGACTGACCCTAAAATCCTCATCAAAATCTTGTGACCGTGATCCAGTTTTGATCTGGTACATCAAAAGTTATACTGATGATCATGTGCTTGTGATTACCCATAGTGTAAATATATCATAAAGTCGACAATTGTCACTCCTGAAAAAGTAAAAAACATTGTGCCGGAGTGAACCATCCCGTCGTTTATTTCTAAGATCACCGAACAAATTGTTGCTGCTCGCCTCTGATTAAACAATTTAGATGAAAATTCCAATCTGTGTATAAACCAATCTACAGCACCTTAGCAGCACTGCTCTTTGTCCACAACGACATTCTTACCAATACAATCAATAAACAGTCAACAGTTTTTGGTACTTCTGGATCTCAACGCAGCTTTCGATATTATCAACCAGTCTCTGGCATTAAGATTTGGAATCTAAATCCAGTAGTAAGTAATCAGTTAGGTACATGGCTATCATCCCTCTATTTGTTAAATGGAGTGCTACAGGGTTCCGTTCTTGAATCTATTTCATTCACGCTTTACACAGCATCGAATATATAATTCCTAAAAATATTTCTAATCATCAGTTATATGCACATTAATGCTGGTTAATGCCTTTGTGTTATCGAACCAGAATTACTGTAGATCTCGCATGTTTAATGCATCTTCCTCGCAAATCAACAAATTTACAAAGCAGAGCCGCTGGGGCCGTAACTGAAGCCAAACTATCCGACCATATTCTCCTATGCTTAAAATAATACACTGTCTCTCGGTGCGAGAAAGTGTTTTTGGGTCTACATAATAGATTAATAATTTTGATTCTCCCAAACATCTACAAGAAATTATTATACTTACCATCATGTCCACTTCTCTCTTCATATGAACTCTCTAAACGTGATGAGAGAACTTTTGCGTAGGGGGCAGTCACTTACTGTTAATGCACCGCCGACTTCCTCAGCCGAGGCCATCTATCATCGTGTGTTTCGAACCCTAGCTCGATACACTCTCAGGATGGGGAGGGGAGGGGGGTCACAATGGTGATCAGTCACTGCGCGTCAGTTGTGTGTCTCCAGCTACTGGTGTCCCTCTTCATCCACACCTAGCATGATGATCTTTCTGCTGCTTGGGTCATCTTACTGCAGAGAGCATTCTCCATACAGGCTGTGCGGGAAAGCCTCTACACCCGACCTCTACTGGATAGCTCCAGGTCTTCCACCCTTTCCCTATACACTCAATTAACAATGGGTCATATTTCGCCTTCTTTCTCTCGTGGGCTTCTGTGCATCTTTCTTCCCATGAAAATGTCAGTTCAATGACGATTACAATCTTCTTCATCACTGATGACCACAGAACCATATCTGACCTGGTCAAGATCTACTGCCAGCTTCCAGTCTTCTGCATGGTTAATATTCCAAAGGGTTTTTCTTCTCCCCTGTTTGATGTTTTCCCCTCCTTCAAAAAATGGATTTGTGTAGGTGTTGCCTTTGGTTGTTTGGCTTTGTTCTTCCGCTCCTTTTCCAAAGTAGCTGCCAACTCTCGTACAACCTGGTTGTGACGCCACGTGCACCTTCCATGTGATGAAGTCACCTGGCAAGAGAATAAATATGCTGTAGGGTTCCTCTCTTTCCACACAGGGGACACTCTGGTGTTTCTACAAGATCCCATCTATGGAGATTTGCTGGTGTTGGTAGCACATCATACACAGATCGAAGGAGAAATTGCAGTTGAAATTTAGGATATTTCCAAATGTCTGCCCAGGCTCCTTGAACTCTAAATTACACTGTCTTGGCTTGTCGGGTTTCTTCCTCCCTGGTTCGGATTTGGTTTTGGACCACACTCCATCTCTCAGTTGTGTCAGCTTCCTTCCAGTAACTGCTCTTGGGTGTTCCCAAACCTTGTCTTTATGTCTCAACCTGCTCTCAGCCTCATCTGACCACTTCTTCCCTGTTCGTACTTCCACTCCTGCTAATCTCACCTTGTCATCTTTGGACTCTTTTAATGTCATGCCTTGCCAGTCTTAAATTTTTTAACCATTGATGTCAGAGGAAGTTGAAGCTTGGCTGTTCTGCTGTAAAGTTCCGGAAGTGTTTGTTGATGCTTCTCTCCATTTTTCTACCATTAAAACGGATATCTCATAAAGCATCAAGGGCCAGAATAATCGTGGTAAGAGACCATGTTGGTAGATCCATGCCTTGAATTTTCCTGGGAGCCCTGCCTTGTCTATGTTCCGCATCCCTTCATTAACTTGCTGTTCTATCCTTTGGATGGCTTCCTTATCTCCCAGCGTTAAACCATTTCCCTAAGCACTTGATTGGATTCTCTATGATGGATGGAATGTTCTCACCCTGGATCGTGAGCTTGAACTGCCCTGAAACTTTTCTTTTCTTTATAATCAGGGGTTTCGACTTCCTGGGGTTAAAGGTCATTCTTGCCCATGATGCAGTTTCCTCTTACGCATTTAGTATCCACCTAGTTTGCACATGCGTGTCTGTTGTTATGGTTAGATCGTCCACGTAGCCTCTGTTTGGTGGTTGCCGGATATTGTCAGATGTCATTGGGTATCTGGTCTCTCTTTCTCCTGCTTTGATTATCATGTTCATGCCCATTCCAAACAGGATAACTGAGATTGTACATCCTGTTACAATACCTTTCTGTAGTTTCTGCCACGATGTTCTAAAGCTTTTTGTTGTAAAGCGTAGATGTATCCCGCTTAAGTAACCTCTAATCTGCCCTCTGAGGTATTCAGGTATATGGTAATGTACAAGAGCCTCCTCTATGGACAAATGTTGAATGGTTCCATAGACATTTGCTAAATCCAGCCACACTACAGTGAGATCTTTCCTGTTGACCTTTGCTTCATGGATTAGTTGTGTTAGGGTGCTGGTGTATTCAATGCATCCGGAGAACCCAGGTACTCCTCCTTTTTGTACTGATGTGACCAGGTACTGGTTCTCGGTCATGTATGGTGTCATTCTCCTCACTAGTACCGAGAAGAAGATTTACGCTTCTACATTTAACAGAGATATTGTACGGAACTGTGAAATACTATTTGATAATTTATGCGAAATTGTATTAGACGAACATAAGTGCAGAGAGGACATGAGTTATAATTTGATAAATACATATATTTTATTTCTATTCTCCATTGTCAGTATATTAGTTATGGTATGAGTTTATTTAAAACGCAAACTAAATTGTTTATGAAATATTGTGAGAATAACAGGAAAGGGCGTCCGTGCTAATATGACACATGAATTGAACTATAGGTTAATAAACACATTTGCCATGGTCAGAAATGTAATGTGTCTGTTGACCAAGTTTGTTAATGAGTCCCTGTTGGTATGCAAGGCACGAAGCACGTGATTAGAAAGTTACCATTTCATATTTGGCATGAGTGACCAATCACATGATTAATTACATCGTAATTAGCCAATAGAATAATTAATGGCTGTGAATCTAAGAGTATATAATTTATAGAATGTGCGCTCTAGGGTAGACAGCCATGTAGTTCTCATAGGGAGAAGATATAGGAATTTCCATCAGCAGACTTGGCGAGTCTGCATGAGAGCGGGTTAGAGAGAATGACTTTATTATGCTTTTAACTCTGTAACCTATATGTAACAGTACTTAATATAAAATGTAGAAACGAAATGTGGTATTGTTGTTACTGTAGGTAACCATAAACTGAATAGGTGGAAGAATAATTACATAACATTTAAAGTGGAGTCCGAAGAAGAAAATAAGAAACAAATGCGGCCAGAGACAATACTATACGAT